GGGGGGGGGTACGGTCCGCAGAATATGCCGTTCACCTTGGACTAGAGTCGAAGATAGCTGCTCAGTAATTGAGAGCGAGCTCCAGTCTATACGTAAATCAGAACTCAAATACCTCAGTTGCAACTCTACAATACCTCCATGTCGTGCTCGACCCCACCCAATGTGGACTCTTGGAAACAGTATAATCCTCTGTTGCACAGGTTTTGCTCCACAATGAGAGACAGCTATGGATCATTTGAAAATCTATACTCTGCACTTTTTCACTCATTGCCATGCTCGTCGCCGGCGTCGTTGCTGTTGCTGCAGCACATTCGGTAGCTCATGCTCGGCCTGATTTATCACATGGCTGGTTTGACCAAGGTCACATTCAGTGCGTCGGTAATGAAGTCGGAAAACTCGGAGTGACAAGGGACAAAAGATACAGAGAGATTGGGGGTGCGCACGCTGAGAGAAAGTCACTTGGCTATTATGGTACTATTATTACCAAGAATGACCGCTGCTCCCAAATACATCGTAGACTGAGAATGCCTGCTTCCGTGTGCCTGCCTGCTTGCTTGCCTGCCAGCCATTGAAGTGCATCGCAGACTAGAAACGTATCGATATCGAACCCTGGTCATGTATGCGTTGACGGACCGGATGTCGTTGGCAAACGTACGCGCAATCAAGAGCAGCGCCCCCTTTTCCCTACACAGTAGACGATCAACATCCCTGCTGCAGACAGAAGCTTGAGAGTGTTTGGCCATATCGGAACAAATGACACAGTCTCGTACGTCTTCTACCAGTGATGGCGACAGGATGCGACCAATGAAATGTTAATGCCCGGCTCTGACAATTGCGGATTTACGGAATATACTGTGTCAAAGCAGAGCACTGGCAATAAATGTCCAGGCGTTTCACGTACTATGTATTGAAGTTGAACCATGAATATGCAGGGCCAATAGGCGAACGCGGGCAAAAGTGCTAAGCATGCGAACCGAGCAGCGAGGGATCTGCAACCCTATGATTGGCCCTTCATCGCCCAATGCAATTTGATATCTTGCACATGATGGGCAAGTCCTTCGATGCTGTCTTGATTTGACAACCCAAATAGTAAATCGATGGCTGAGTACAGGATGTACACTACCTGCCTACCCAGAAGAAGCCGGGTATCGTGCAATTGCTTGACTTCACGAGTAATTTGACGTTGATCTGTGTGCGAATCATGACAGGGGAAGACGTGGCAAGGAACGGACAAGCCCGGACTGGATTGCAAATCTCATTGCTCGTCACCAACGACATTACTATGTAACGCGCCGAGGCCAGAAGCCTTGCAAGCCTCGAGCAAAAGGTAACGTATTAGGATGTCCCATGATGAGATGGCTGGGTTTGCATACCTACAGGCTACAGCAGCAACTGTGCCTAACTAAAATACCACGCACGCCTTGCCTTTCCCACACCCATTCATTGAACATGCTCGAGAGAGTCAGGTAGCGGTACATGCACTCGATGGCGGTTCTTTCTGTTTCTACCCAGTCAATCGCGGCTGCGGCTTATTATGAACAGACACGCACTACCGGGAACGCCAGTGACGAATTTACTACTGGTCAAAAATAGATTTGGTCCATGCGATCGAACAGTGCTACTGCATCAAGTGTGTCGGCCAAAAAAGAGCTTCATGACACTTCTTTGCAACGAGGAAAGAGAATTTACAAAAAAAAAAAAAAAAAAAAAAAAAAAGGACCAATCTGCAGCGAACCGCCGAAATAGCCCAGATAGTTATGGCTCTGCTGGGCAATAACAAGATAGGATAGTACTACAATAGAAATCAAACACGCCATCTTCCTCGGCCATCATTTTGTTATTCATTTACATTGACCCGAGAAACCATTAATCAGTAATCCGTCATCGTGTATTCCGCGGACAAGGTGATTGATTTATTATGACCCTGGCATGAGAAATCCTTTCATATGCCTGGGTATCCCGCCCAAGCGCCTCAAAATGTCAGCCCACTTATTTTCCCGAGTGTCATCTCGGCGGTGAAAGTACCTGTTGACCACCGCCCTGCTGATGCGTTACATTACCAACCGGACATGACACGATGCCTTCAATTTCTGCACACTATGCTCCAAAGAATTGTAGTCGAGAGAACAGCTGGCCGTCTCGTGATGTCCGTCTGTCAACTGTGCAGTAAGCACCGAATGTACAAGTGATGTATATTTGCAACAAGTGCAATCATGGCACGTAGCACCAGATTAAGCACAAATGATGATGAGTTCTACGTACTTGGCAGACTGGGCAGTACCTAGAATGCTGAGCACTACCGCATACAGTATTTCCGTACCTCCTGCCCAGTGCTATGAATGATTGAATCCTGACAATTCGTGTCAGGCGGCGTATCGTATCATACTGTGTTAGGTAGCCGGCGAATTTGCCAATGTTGCAAAACTCGTCGACGTCGTCTTTCCGCTCTCAGTCCTATCCGTCAATCTCTACTCATTCTGGGCATCTTTTTGAGGTAATTTTTCTCATTTTGGTTCGTGACCCTTCTTCTCCTTCTACTTTTCTTCCCATCTTCCTTCCTCACTTCCTCTCCCCAAGTCCTGAACACGCGCATGTCCCATACTGTACATAGTACACCCGGTCGTCAACCAGCGTCGTCGAGATAGGCCCGATCCATCAGACATAGTCGTTTCATTGTCTAGGAGGGACCCCTGAACTATTTGGGAGCAAGACCATAACTGTTGAGACGCGTGACGTACGTACCTATTTCCCTTGTGGAACGACCCATACATAACCCATTTCTGTATGGCCTAAAAGCCAGTGGGTAACTGTCTTCTGCTCATGCTCCATACTGGGATCGCGTTGGATGCAATCCTTTCTGCCGCACTGCCGCACGCACCACCATTACACACATGCACACACACCCTTTCTTTGCTTCTTCTCTATTTTCCCTTTTTGACATAGGGCCCTTCTTTTCCTGCTTACATATGCCCATGAGCGTTACGTACCTGTACAAGCGCGCTGTTCATTCTGCCTGCCTGCCTGTCTGTCTGCTGTTCGGGCTTGCCTGAGCTATCTGTCTGGTTGTATGGTCTGTGAACCCCCCTCGTCGTCTCCTTCCCTCTTGCCACCTGCCTCTGCTAAATCCCAGCACTGCTTGAATGGTGGCCCAAGTGGCCAAGGTGTGCGTGCCAGTTGTTGATGGACAGCGACGGGTCCGTCTTGTTTCCAGCGCTGTTCTCTCGGCATTTGTGCATAACTTTTGCATCATTATCCTGCTGCTCCTCGCATGTCCATGCCCATCCTAGCATCCCAGGCAAGCCAAGTGGTTCCACTTTCCCATCTTGCATCCCGCTAAATAGAAGAGAGAGAAGAAAAAAAAAAAGCCCGCAGCTTTGCAGAACGGAGACTGACGGAATCCACTTAGCCGATAAACGGTTCTTTGACAGCACCTCGACTCGTGGCCCACCTTGCCGCCCGAAAGTTTCGATACATTTGCTTTTCACTATGACACGTTAACCGCATCGGGCCACCGCCTTGCACCAGACCTGAACCCTCGTCGCGTTGTCACTGTACATCGTACATTACTGTAGACAAGGCAAAACAGAAAAAAAAAAATAAAGGACATAAGATAATTATCCCAAATCCAAACCAATTTTGGAGAGAGAATATCCTGGCCAAGGAACAAGTCAAAAGCTAGCCCCTCCTAGAGCCTAGAAATTTTTTCTTCTCGACTGCCCGAAAGGAGGCAAGCTGTTTCGTTCGTTCAAGAAAAATAGAAAAGAAGTCGGCATCGCTTTTTCAAGAGGGATCCATTTCTCCACTTTACAAACAACTCCTTTCACCTTTTTTTTTTCGGACCCCATCAGCAAAGCAGCACGGCTGTCGACGAGTCCCACGTCGTCAAACCCCCCCGTTCACGGCTCAAGCCTTTGGTCGCCGTTGCTGATTTTCCATCACCCCTCCTCCGTCCCAAGCAAGCCACCCGCATACCTGCCTGCTAGGTTATACTGCGAACCCGGTTCTGGTCATTGGAGCATCGTCCATTGACTTCCGCCCACCCAGGATCCATCCGGTCCCCAATTCTACCCCAAAACCAGCACCATCCGTTCCCCTCATCGTCTCAAGAATTTTTTTATTTTCTTGAGACTATCACGAGTTTTTGCGTCTACAGCACCAATTCGCGTCATCAACACTAAGCACCCATCTCTGCACTGGCGGGCATTCAAGTTACCTCGTGTCAGGTAGTAGTGGAGGACTTTTTCTGGACTTTTACCTTCCTGTAATCCATCCTTCCCGGGTCCCATATCCCAAATCCCCGCCAACTACAAACGTCAAACAAAATCGCGTCTCGTGCGTGTTGTTGTCTCGACGCGCCTCGCACCAGTTCTTCTGCGATTTCCCTCTAGCCAACAACGATTGTGTGTGTGCCTGCATAATCAAGACGAGCGACTCGAATTCTTGTCTGATTCTTTCTGTCAGACATCAATTTAGACCCCTTGTTTCTTTTCACGCTCCCGTGGATCTCATCTTCGCCTTGTTGACTCTCCAGTCCTTGCGCGTCGACATCTTCGGCTTCACCCAACCATTGCGTTTCCTTGGGTTATGGACGGCTCCCAGTACCACTCTAATGTCATAGGCACATCAGCACCTAGCTATCATCCGTCGCCAGCAGCAATCTCGCCTCACCAACTCCAGAACGGTCACCTTCCGCCGCACACGCTCCCCCCTCTGCAACCTCACAATCCAGCCATGCAGTCCGTGTACAACAGCCACCCGCACACGCCGCGCACCCCAGGCACCTCAAACCCCCCTACGCCTACCAACATGAGCAACTACCCTCCCCCGCCTCAGAACAACCAACGCGGTGGTTATCAGCAAATGATGCCGAACCCATACCCTCACCAGGGCTATGCTACTTCGGCGTCCATGATGCCCCAGTCCTCGGTAGCAGCATCGCACCCGCAACCCATTGCCCCTGCACCCGCGAGTCGACCTCCGGTGCTTCGGCCCATGCCTGCTGGCGGTGTCATGCCCCAGTCCGGCTTGTCCTCGCCGTATGGCCAGAGCCCGCTCATGCCTCACCAGCCGTCTATTCTGCAAGAGACTGAGCAGCCTACCCATGTCGTCGGCTCTCAGGGACGCCGTGGCATTTTGCCCAGCGCGCCTGGAAGACCTGCCGCCCCGACAGGGCCCGGATCTGCCAAGAGCACCGTGATTCCCCAGAAAGATGCCGACGGCAAATTCCCGTGTCCTCACTGCACCAAAACGTACCTGCACGCCAAGCACCTGAAGCGCCATCTTCTGCGCCGTAAGTATCCACAGTTTTTATGCTGCTAGAAACCTTGCTGACAAGGCTCTCGTAGACACCGGTGATCGCCCTTACATGTGTGTTCTTTGCCGGGATACCTTCTCTCGTAGTGATATTCTCAAGCGCCACTTCCAAAAGTGCTCGATTCGACGAGGAAACCCCACCGGCGCCAGTCACTTGTCCCATCCATCGGCTCACGTGAAGAAGCACCAGGCAGCACAAGCCAAGGCCGCTGCAGAGGGTGAGCTTAACCAAATGAACGGTATCAACAACATGCAAGGTGATGGTGTCGTTCATCCTTTCGGCATGGTCCCCATGGCCGACGGATTGACAAACATGAGCAACGAGCAGAGCCAGCTGTCAAGATCCAGCAGCATTAGTCGCATGGACGACAACCGTGACAGACGCAGCATGACTGGCGGTGGATCCGTCTATGGTGGCGGCGACGTCCAGAACTCCATGGCCTCCAACATTAACCCTCAGTTGGCCAACTACAGCATGCCTCAGGGCCAGAATGGCATGCAAATGTTTGCAGGATCAAACTCAAACCAACAGAACCTTGATTGGTCCATGTTCCAGGCTGGTGCGCAAGATACCTACGCAAATTCGTTTCAACCTCCTAATCTTGGGCAGACGCAGGTCGGAACGAAAACAGAACATCATAATTCAGATGCCGAGAGAGCAGCCGCCGTGACCGATGCAAACGACCGATCGCTTTTCTTTTCCAATTGGGACACAAGTTCGACGATACATGATCCCTACCAACACATTTCGACCCAAATTCACGGCTTCTTCCACCCCCCGGGTACGGTCGTCACGTCGCAGACGGCTGGCATCACCAACTTTTACTCGCCAGCAAATATCAAAGATTTCCTCGAGCAATATAGCCATTATCATTGCCACTTCTCTTTTCTCCATATTCCAACATTCCGCATTTTGGAAGCATACACTGGCCTTCTCGCCAGTATGTGCTGCATTGGAGCCTGTTACTCGGCCCATGTCTCGCCCAATCAAGTTCGTGAGGTTATGAATTTCTTGAAGATAGCCTTGGAGCGAGACTCAAACCTGTTCTCTGGTAACGCTAATGGAGACAACAAAGCCACCGATGTCGCATCCGACAATGAGCACAGGGCACTGGAGAAGTTACAGGCCCTCGTTCTCTTGTCTCAACTATTGGTTTGGAATGGCACTCCGTTCCAACGGGAGAGCGCTAGGAGACTGTTTCCGCAGGTCGCCGATCTTTCGCGCAGATTTGGCCTGTTGCAAGTTTCCTCGCCGCCCGGGCTCTACAGCGTTCTTCATCAGCCGAACCTGGCGCTACAGAACATTAGCCCAGGAAATTTTGATTGGAGCCTGTGGATCCGCCAGGAGGGCCGTATTCGACTGATGCACATGTTGTACTTGTCTGATGTCGCGTACGGGCTTTACTTCAATTTGGATGCTCAATTCGACAGCTCGGAGATGCAAATCCCGCTACCGGCTGATGACGCGGCCTGGGAAGCTTCAAACCCCACCGAGTGTGCCGAAGCTCTTCATCTGTATGGATCGGAGGTTGCAAAAGCCAGAAATCCCGACGGATCTCAGCGTAGCAAGCAGCCAGAACTCAGCCTCGCCATGCGTGCCCTTCTCCACGAGTCGTATCAGATCCATCCCGGAAGCACGAATTTGTACGGAAAGTTCATACTCATCCATGCTCTGCTGGCTCAAATTCGCCGTGCGCAACTCGAGGGTGCTGTTGCCAACATGAGTCGGTCTGCAACTCCGCTTTTGCAGAACGATTGGATCTTCAAGTCCGACGGCGCCGGTGGGGTGGTGAGCGCTCAGAACAGCGGACGCGCGACCCCTGTGTCTGGTCAGTCGTGCCAACTGGCCCCTCCAGTACTGAAGACTTTTGCCATTGCTCTGGACAAATTCAAGTCGAACTGGGATATGGATATGGCCATACAATTTCCTCCCTCAGTACCCAATTCCAGGCGGTACGGATTCTCCAGAGATGGTATTCATTTCTACTATCTCGCAAGGTGGCTGCTTCAGCATACTGAAGCTCAGGACCTTCGTCTACCGGCAGATCATCGGTTTGCCCGGGTCATACAGCTTCTCAAGAATGTCAAAACATGGGTATTGGAAGATGGTGCAAAGAGAGGTGAAGAGCTCGGTTCTGTGGGCGAAATTGACAACGAATTCGGCGTGGCCGATCTGACCCTCAACATGGCGGACTTGTTCAAACCTCTGCCTCAGGTGGTCAAATCGCCTCATATGCCGTCCATTAGGACCGAGATCTGATCATCGTCTTGTTTTCGCATTGGTCAAAGCGTACTGTTTCATTGCATCGTCGGCGTTGCTTGTTTTTCTCCTGTTTACAAATCATCCCTCTCACACAAAAGTTGCGATTCCCCTCGTTGCATCGGATAGCATGACGGCGGTATTGTGATCTGCATTTCCAGGGGTTGTTCAAGGTTTTGTTTTCTCTTTTTTTTTTTTCTTAGACGGGTGATTTAGTTTCTTTTCTGTGTTTTCATTTCTGCATTAGACCGTACGATTAGATAAAGGAGGAGAGTCCAGGCGAACATAGCCTCCCAAGTAGAGAAGTGGTGGTCATTACGATCATGACCGAGTCCGAATGGGACCCAACTGGTAGATATGACATCCCGACGGAAAAAAAAAATGTACTTAACGTTTGGCTCGAGACTCAGGTCGTCTGGTGTGGACTATTCTTGTGGGCTGTTGATGTGAATAGAAGGACTAGTTTGACTGTGAACAACAATCCCTGATGCAAGAGCGTACTGAAATTGACTTGAAAGTGACTGGCGTGCACACTGTGAGGGGTCATATTTAGGCTGTCTCGAATTCATTGCCTTGAGGACATAGTCAACTAACTATGCGCCCCTCTGAATCGTAATTTACGATGCTTGAGGCCATTATGATTTCCTCATGTACGTAGTCTATTATCTCTCGAAAATCTAGTAGCCTATACTCAAACTTGAGAATTATTTGATATTTCGACCAACTAAATACCCGAATTTAACTTCAACTATATGTTATGACTGACGAGAACCATTTGCTTGCATGACGATGGGGCGTGGAGAGTGGCCAGGATAATGCAAACGAGCATCTGATCCTTCTAACTTGAGTGGACAGGGCATGAATAAATATATATATATATACTCCAGATTCTTAAGTGGGTGGTGGGAATACAGAAAGTATGTTCTAGAGTTTCTGATTGTTTCTCACTTGTTATGAAGAACACTGGTAATAGTACAAGTGCCACCATTTACGTCTACACGCTTGCAATTTTTACACCTCGAGAGCTCTTGTCACGCTACTTATTCTTGCATATAGATCTTAGTATCACTACCTAGTTCCCAGTCCAAGTATGCACTCTTCTCATGATTATGATACTACCCCAGTCACCATGTCATCGTACCGGCGTGCAAGTTCATCTCGATGACTGAATGAACAACCAAAGGGAAATGGCAGCACTGGAGGTATAACCAACGGTAGCAAAGGCGGCAGGGAAATAAGCTCATCAAGGTCTTCCCAATTATTTCAGGACTTGTCTCCGGGAAATGGCATGCTGTGCTTTGCGCGGTTGATATACTGACATGTATACTCCTTTGCCAATGTCGTCTTGTAAGCATATTCACGCATGGTTCCATTCTTCGAGCATGATAGCCTCCCACCAGTTTGGTGCTGGAACAAAGCACATCATGTTGTCAGTGCCCAAGCAAGGTTTCAAGACTTTGAGCATATCCAATCTCGATGTGAGAAGGTGGGATCTTGATTGATTCGCTCCGCAGCTGTCAGACGTCATATCTTGACCCCTAGTCGTAGGACTCGTGCCTGGACTTGGGTGTGCGAGCAACCTCCCCCATCCATCCCACGAGTACCTTGGAGCTGTGGAAATGCGAGCTTTAACGTTCGGAGGCAGAAGAAAGCATCGCCCATAGATTCTCGCTCGACGATCATCCGCCATTGATTGAATGAGAATGTAATGTTTGCTATGGCTAGTGGACATTACCACAAAAGGCTTTCTGCACCCTTGTGTTTCAGTGCCCTCGTTATTGTTCCCTCGAGTGCTTGGAAAATCCTTCATCTCATGTCCTCCTATCAATATATGAAGTTCGCATTCTATCCCGAGCAAGCACAATACTAGAGGCTGTTTGGCACTCATGTCCTGGAGAATGGGAGGGGGAAAAACAGTCGTGAGAACCCCTCTCATGGAGGCTTATTCAGACGCAATAAACCTTGTTGTTACCGTGCCTCAACAATGCAGCAAAAATGAAGGTGGCTAGCCTGGTCTGACGTTGGTATGTAGCCCGAATTCTGGCTCGCAGGTTTAAATCATAGAGCCATGAAATATCACGAGAGGGACCCTCCACTCGTTGTCCCGTGGCGGCGGTAGTAGGTCCTCTTGGCACATGGCTGCAATGTGAGAGTGGCGCACACCATGATCGGAACAATAACGACCATGTCACCATCCCCAGCCCAATCACATACACATACCGTGCCTGGCTTAATTCAAGCGCATTGGTCGAGCGCTCGGAGTCTCTTCGTCATAAAGGTCTTGGTCATGTGCAACTGGGAGCCGACCCAAACTTGGCCGGTTGCACGTACTGATTTGAGTAGCCAACTATACGCATCCGTCATTGTATCGTAGAGTCCAAGTTCGACTCTTTAGGCTCGCAGGGTAAGGACAAGCGAGTTTCGAACAAAGGCGGCGAAAGATTAGAGAAGAAAAGACTTAAGAATAAAAGAAAGAATAGGATGAAACGTTTATAAAAGAGAAGCAACCGTCATGGAAAAGCTCACGACTACAGCAGGTGTCGAGCGAACCCCTTGTATGTGTGGCGCCTTGAAGTGCATGCAGCATACAGCATGTAGGTAGCACGACAAGGGGAGATGGGCTGTCGCTATTGGTTCCATGGCTCAATTCAGTGATTCATCACGTCGACTGGCAACCGAGAGCTGACACAAGCCTTTTTGGGGAGAAAGAATTAATACATTTTTGCTTCTGTGGCTGGGAGAATAGATATCAGTTGTTTCTTTTCTTTTACATCTGCTATCAGAAAAACATGCCGTTCTACCGAGAAAATAGACGACAAATTTGGTCTCTGAGTAGCAATGAGAATATAGCCGTTGGCAGTATGTGACAGGGAAGAAAGTGCGTGGTGGCACATGATGAGAACGTGGTGAGACGCGTGGTACTCGGGACGTGTGACCGGTCTTACACCGCTTTCCGGCCTGGCGGGCGTGGGTCTCTCGGCGGGGATCCATTGGAGTGATGGATATGGAGAGTAGCCAGGATAGGAGGATGATAGGTAGTCATCACATCTGCCTCTCCTTCAAATTTCTGTGCAGCTCTCTGGTTTCGGCCCTGATCAGAGAGCCAGCGCAGCGGCTCGCCATGCTCACCGATCTTTGCCCTTGTCGACGGCGATAATCCTCGGGGCCAGCTGGCTTAAGGCGGCCTTGTCCTCGTCTGTGGGCTTCAGACCAAATTTCTCCTCGGCGCGGTCGGAGAGCTGCAGACCGATGAAGCCCCAGGCGAGAATGCCAATGCCCACGCCTATGCGGGTGCGAGGCGAGAGGTTCCGGTAGGACCTATAGTAGTAGCACGTAGTGTCAGGGTCAAGTTCCAACGGCTCACTCAGCATAGAAGCAACATGCAATAGTTTGAAGGAAAGAAAAGAGTCGCTAGAAGAAAGCAAGAAGGCATGACCCCTGGACACGACCTTCTAGAAAGCTGTAAGGGACACGGCACTCACTGGAGTAGCGACATGTGTACAGAGTAGTAAGATGATGCGGTGACTAGGTAGTAGGCAGGCAAGCAAGTAGACAGTCAGGCGGGCAGACTAGGTAGAGTTAGTGGTTTTTTTTCCCTCTCGTTTCCCCTGCCTTTCCTTATTCCCTACCCGTCCGAGTGGATTCGAGATGCGTTGTTCGCACGTGGTTCGCGGCCCAAAGTTGGGATGGATTGGATGTGCGAGGATAAGGGAAAAAAAAAAAAATAATCTACCAAAAAAAATCTACCGCCTGGACTAGTACCTGATGAACATTTTTCGGGGGGCGAGGAGGGGGGAGAACAAGCCAAGGATGAGACTGCATTTGTTGGAAGGCTGGTAGGTAGGTAGCAGGTAGGTAGGGTGGTACGGTAAAATAGTACGTTCCGTAGTTTGACCTTCTTTCCACTACAGAGTACATACACTATCATTCCCTAGGCGGGGCTGGCTCAATCCTGTCGCTCGTGGTGCTCCCGATTAGGCATGTAGCTTGGTGACAGCACCAATTTGTCGGTGTGACATGAGAAACTTTTTTTTTTTTTTTTCCTTACCGCGATGCCGGGTTGGATCCCGGAACACGGGTATGTTCACTAGTGCTTTTGCTTGAACAGGGCAATCCCTAGCGACCGCCGACTAGAGAATATCCATTTGTGGGAGTATTGGAAGCATTGATGGGCTGTCAACGGAAGCAGATGAACTTCTCATGCGTGTGGGTTCCATCTAGGAGGAAGAACCATACCAGCTATCTGGATTCCATATTTCAACTTTAGCCTCGCTGCTTTTTTCTGTCTGTATGCTTTCAAAGCAGAGTTAGATCTAAATCCAATGCGGGCAATAAGAAGATCATCATGTACGTGCGACTCACTCGTCTCCACGGTAAGGGACAACAAGCAAGCAAGCAAGCAGGAAGAGAGGAGTATTTACGTGGTACACATGGTACATATGGCGTCAGTTACCGACAATTCGTTCCAGAGCTCCACGCACGCATGTCTGAACTGGCGGAGATCATTGATCGTCGTCTATACCTTGTATACTAACTACTCAGTAGTTTAGTTAGTACTTGCATGGATAGTACCTACTTTGTGTGTGTGTCTCTCGAGTCCATACATAGTAGACCAACCATGGATAAGAGTGATTACATTTCTGTTTGATGAAGAATCAAAACGAATCAAATGCGGGCACTATGTTTTGCTAAGGAGTCCTCCCGCTGATTGCAGCTGCTTACCACCTTGTCTCGTGTGTACGTAAGTTAGTTGACAACAAACATTGCAAATTGCAGCCTCGTTGACCAGGGGGGGAACAGGATGAATGGAAAACATTGAGCAATGCCAGCCCACATGCCATTCGAGTACTTAGTTTGAGAAGTACATGGCTTCCTTCCTGGTAACGGGCAATGATCTTATCACAAATTTACACGTACCTTACCACGTGAACATAGACTCTCCCTTGCCTCTCTCTGCCCAACTCTGAAGTGACTGGTTGCATGTGGCTGGATAGACTCTGGAGTCCACGTCGGTTCTCGCATTTGGACAAATTTAGAAAACTTCATGTATGAACTCATGTACGTACATTATTCATACATTCAACGTGGGTGTTGGAGGCATTACATGGACTGTAACCTTAGCCTTGAGATATCTTACACATTTCCTTTGCAGCTAATTGTCCTTGGGGCCTTGGCTTGCGCTACCCACTGATGCCACCAACTAAAAAGTACATACTAACTACACTAACATTCCCAAGTGTGCCAGTCCCCAGGATACCTACATGCCCTAAAAAAGACAGTCCAAGTAAGGTACCTTCAAGGTTGCCATGCACCCTCTTTACGCTACCTTGGACTTACCGCTTGACCGCTTCCCCCCTCTCCGCCAATCTCGAACTGCATGTTTCCCCATCCTGCTGGGTGCTGGTTGGGCCTCTTTCTCTCTCTTTAAATTTTTTTTTCTTTCCCTTTTCTCCATTTCTTCCAATTCTTCCGTGCGTTTTCGTTGCTTCTTGAGCAAAGCAAAGGCGGACGGACCCCTGCCGGCGCCTGGATCGATCCCAGCCAAGCAAGATCAAGCCCCATGCGTGTCTCACTCTCACCGATACTTGGTCGTTTTGCCTTTGGCTCGCACAGGCTCGTTGCAGAACGAGCATTGCTGATGCATCTCCCAACTGCACGGCCAATCTCGAGCTTACCTCACGGCAGCACCTAAAACCAGTCATTCGGCTCTCCAATGACAATCACGGACAAGGCATCCACCGTCTTGCGTCTGGTGCCCATCGGATCACCCGCCGCCCTCGTCTTCGTTGTTGTCGTTGCTGTTGTCGGTGCGTCCTGTCCAGGTAGTAGTAGTCTGTTGTAAGGTATGTAGCAATAGTATTATTATTAGTAGACACCCAAGTCGGAAAAAAAAAGAAAAAAAAAAGTCTCAATGGCCCAAAGTACATATACCGACCTCATCAGCCCGCCACTCTTGCCTGCCTCACTCCTCGCTTGAAATCTGATTCTGAGCTGACGGGATCCTCTCAGGTGACGACGACGACGAAGACTTGTTTCTGTGGTGGTTTGTTCCGTGTTTATTCTATTGTTTCTATTGCACATAAGTAAAGAGGGAAGGATCCGCGAAAAAGGGTATTTGTTTGTTCTCTTGGGGCTGCCTCTCCTCCACTTGTACTACTTCCCTCGCGGTCGGATCTACTTAATACTACCTTCCGCCCGGACCGACTCCATTTTCGGACGGACGACTATATCGCAGCCCGCCCAGAACCCGTTTCGTCTACGGGACCTTGCTGCTCGGGCTACCGCCAACCTTTTCGATGGACGCCTTACCCGTTGAGCTTTTGAGGCTCATCTTTGGCTACTGTGACCGGCAATCCGCCAGGCATCTGCGCGAGGCCAACAGGACCCTGGCCAATGTCGGTTACGAGTATATGCTGTCGCCGCGCTTCACTGTCCTTGCCTACCGGGATGATGTCGACCGCCTGCGCAATATTGCCCTGCACCCGCAGCTGAGGGGCAGCATTGACTCGATTGTCATCAATCTCTCTGACGTCGACGATTATGACGCGAGACACGCCGCATGGTTGCAACACTTTATCCAATTACCGGAAGACCGTCAACTAACCCTGAGCAGTGCCTGGAATGAATATCCAAAGATTGCCGAGAACCGGAAGAAACTGGCCCAGTTCCATACGAGGGCCGACGACCTGCGAGAAGCGCTCGCCGCCCTTCCCAATCTGAAGTCAGTGTCTGTTACCTTCACCGAGTGTCCCGTCGACAATGCCGTTCTGCGCGACGTCTACGGTGTGCCGAGCTGCCGAAGGATGAACCGCGCCACCGCATACGAGAACCTCAACGCCATCGTCGCAGCCTTGAACGGGCTGCCACTGACCTCGCTATCCATTGACTGGTTTCCCTTGGAGATGCTGAAAACGCCCGTCCACCGGAGACACTGGTTCACACACTCACGCTCGTTCAAGAGCCTCTCTCGGTTCGACCTGACGCTGGACCCGTCTGGATTGCAAGGGCCTGCAGCTGCCATGAAGGCCGTGAATGGCCTTGGGTTTGTCTTGCAGCAGGCGGCAAATGCCCGCACCCTGAGGGTTGCATTTCACCCATACTCGAGCCCGGATTCGAAATTTGCCATCAACTTTAGGGAAATGCTCAATGGGTTTGTCTTTCCGGAATTGGAGGATTTGACCCTGGTGGGCATGTCCTGTGAGGAGCGAGATCTCAAGACTTTCATCTCACAGCATCGCGCGACCCTGCAGCGTCTGCGCCTAGGCGGCCGTGGACTGGCCAAACCCTATCAAGCGTCACTCGGCGGCATGCATCTGCGTGAAGGAACGCTGAAGTCACTCTTCGTGGGGCTACGGTCTCAGCTTACAAAACTCGAGCGTGTGCATCTCGAGGGCATCTTTGAGTGCGAAGGACAGTACGAAACATACAACTTCTATCCTCTGACAAACGAGGACTGGGAGGAGGTGCCCCGGCCAAGCTGGGTGCACTCATCCCGTGAGACTATTAGCTGCCTTCCCTTTGAACAGTTCCTTACGGCAGGCCGACCATATCCTGGGAACATGTTCGGTCAACAGAACAACAACTAAAAGGGAGTTGCATTTACGGCGCATATTTTTGCATTTCTTGGCCTTTTTTTTTCTCCTGCTTTTTCTACACGTATAGATTGTCGAGGCACACGCCGATGACGAAACAGCATTTACTGGAATGGCTTCTGGCGTTTCTTTGGGATGGAGCATCACCTCAATTCGCAGCTACATATACACACACACACACATTGGATGATATGTTTGGGATAGTACGATAGTATGTAATTAATAACTGCAACGGTTACGAAAATGAGGTTGTTTTCCTATGTCATTGTTGCTCTATTTCTTGGAACACAGCACTTTAGTGCGTGGGGAAAGCTGGTTTGTGTACGCACTCCAAAAGGTGCATTACCGGTCAGAAATCAGGTTAGTAGCGCACGAAGTGGCAAAAACCATCGTCACAGCGCGTGAACTCGGCTACATGGCACAGCTTTTGAGCCAGGAAACAGGATTGGTTGCGACGGATGATATCAGATAAGCGAGCAGCAGCAGCAATACATTCAGAGAATGAAGACTGTATCGAAGCAATTATATAACCTTGGATCCTCTGCAATGTGCAATTTTTGTCGTGACTATAATCAATCAATCAACCCAATCTACACTTAAACCCCCTCAACACATAAAATCATCACAGAAGCCCCCTGCTTCTTGTCGCCTCACACAACAACAACAACAATCCACAATGGAAGCCTGGCAATCCGTCCTCGTTTCTCTAGTCATAGTTTGCACCATCTTGGCCGGTGGCTATGTTGCTTACGAGCAGGGCATGTTTGACCCGCTGATTGAAAAGATTGGGTACGCCTCACATGGACTAGACTACTGTAATTGTTACAACTTACAGTGGCTTGTCACTCGTCCATCTACTAGTTTCTGACATTGGCAATATTGGGTACTAATTGAAAATCTCCGATTTGCAGTGTCATGATGTTCAAGGCTAAGGCTGAAGCCGAGAAGGAGAAGTACCAAGCCCAAGGGCTCAAGGCCGGCGAGGACTTTGTCGACGGTAAGCAGCCGCAGGCCCCTTTCACGTTCCATTTCCCTGTGATCTCCAAAGAGAACTTCCCGATGCAGGAACCTTCAAAAGTGCTGTATTCGTTAAACGAAATAAAGAGAATTGCTAGCTAATAATCGGGCTGTTTTTTCCCCCCTCGATTGCAGATCAGCTCAAAGGCAATAAGCAAGCGCGCGATGTCATTTCGGGCGTAGGTCCCATCGGAGGCTTAAAGAAGGAGTTGTAATAATTTTCACGTGTGAGACCATGCTGTTATACGGACAACGGCAGGCGGCGGCGGCGGCGGCTACCTTCAATGCTTGCATATGGAGCAAAAGACCCAAGGAAGTGTCGTTTTCTTTTTAACGTTTGAGAGAAGTCAAATATCAGTCGAGGCATGCTTTTGCTCCATATGCAAGCATTGAAGGAAAACCTTCAGACTCGAGACTAAGAAAGCACCAGGGGGTGGTGGTTGGCACAGCCAATCCAAATCCAGGGTCCTGTTCGCTCTCTTTCTTAAGGCTGGCGGCCGTTCGTTCGTGTCCGACTCGATCCAGTCCAGTACCTACCAGCTACGCACTATGGTATACGAACCCCACCCGTTACATTAATTAGCAGCTTGGAAAGCTGGAGTGCATTACATCGGTGGCGTTGGCATTGCCCGCTGGTCATTCATGGAACATCTTTCCACTTTCTCTCTCGGAATTTTGTAGAAATAAATGCAGCATTATCTTTTTGCGAGCCATGGCATTGTTCATTATCCAAAGGAGCGAGTTTCATTGGATTCCTTACCTATCATATCAGTCATATAGAGGAAAGGCCAAAAAAAAAAAAAAAAAAAAAAAGAACTTTGATAAAAAGACGCGTTGTTTTCACCGGCGCGGCCGTCAACCTTGTGAACCTTATGCACCGTGTCTTACTCGCGGATCTCATCTCAGATGGGGGAGAGAGAAGAAGAACAAAACATTCAAGACATTATCTGCGACTATTCCATAGTGCCAGGGGTCTTTTTTTTTTTTCCCTCTCCCAAACCCCCAAATGTCTTTTAATTTCCTGCAACGGGCAGCGAAACGAGATCCATTGGGTGTCAATGTTCAGTATTACAGTATGCGTCAAAGACTGAACAGCTCACTCACAATCACTCCACTCGCCTAGTAAAAAGAACGAATCTTGTAACCAACCAATTGTGCCCACTATACAAATACAAGAACAGACTAAAAGGCAGTCGCTATTTCCGGTACGGCCCAGCCGATGGCCTTACTAGGAGGCAATTCAGTGTTTCTCTTTCATCCTTTCCCTCCCTTCCTACCTACCTCTTGTTTGTTGGGCAGAAATCCTCTTGGGGACCCCGCGGAAATGGCCCCTAGAGCAGGTACACAACATAATACAGAGAAAAAGAGACAGTCTAAAATGGACGTTCGGGGGGCGGGATCTACCACCTAGGAAGATGTGTAGTACTTGCACTAATTTTTTTTTTTTTTTAACTAATGTACCCAGATGATCCGGCTCAGGGCCAAGCAAGGAGCCGCCGGGTAGAGTTTACTGCACATATCCTGGCAATTCAGAGAGCCCATTGATGTATGTATATGTATGGGTGCGTTGCTGCTGCATGATGATAATAAGCCCGGCAACGTCAGCAGTCTGATGGGCATCGTCTGATTATTACAGCTTCGTGAAAAGAAGAAAGGACCAAAAAAAAAAAAAAGACACATCTCAAGCCAATTGGGAAATGGGACGAGTAATGTAGCACCGGTAAAGAAGACCTGTATTGGGAGGAGGAAACCAATCAGACTCGACCCGGCGCGGAACATGTTGAGAGTACTGTCTCAGATAGCTACGTGCCCACCAATGTATGTAAACATGTGCCACCACCAATGAATTGGCTTTGGCGGCTTGATTTGACTTGGCTTCAACCATCAGCCACGGACCTGGCAAAGCACGTTGAGCAAAAAAGCTTTCATTCCTTTACAATGGGTCGAGGGGTCTGGTCTGGTCCGTTCTGGTTTTCTTTTGCCAACGTGGAATGATCTCCCCAGGTTGACGATCACATTCAGCTCTGCTGGGCCCGGTCTCGAACCTTTTGGATCCCCATGCCATCTGAGATTCTGGAGTGAAGTGCCGGGATCAGGATTCATGGGAGACGCACATCACCTCGTCCTGCGTTACGCACCAGCCCAACACATAACCCACATAGTATACGCAGTAGAATACTAAGTTTTACCAACTGCACCTGTGAACAATGCTTCCAAAAAAGACCGAGACTTGCCTAACATTCTACATATGTAATGAGGATACTTTTGCACATTACCCAACTTTCCCCACGTCTGAGCTAGACAGTAGAACGCGTCGTTCAAAGACGATGCACCCGCCGTCCCACCCGCCTCTCGGCAGGCGCCTCTTTCCCTGTGCTGCTGCTGCTGCTGCTGCAAGTGTCCATGCGTCAGGCGTTCATCTGGCAGCAACTTGGCTAGTCCTGCGAACTATCGTGAGCAAGCCCCGAACAGTACGTGCCAAGCTTTCATGCACGGCGAGAGGGAGATGGGGGAAACAGATAAAGGCAGGGCGGCAGAGGGGGTTTATTTTATTTTTATATTTTTTTATTATTTTTAATAAGGTTCGGTATTGAGCATATGTACAAATCTGGTCATGTATGAATCCAAGATGGAATGCAGAAATAAGAGGTGGATTTTGTACTCGACTTACACAGGGCAAATGATACACTAGACGGGACTGATTGAAAGTGGATCTCGACGACGAAACACTTGCCAGGAGCAGCGAAATGGGAAATACTAACACCTACCCGGCGTACCGGAGAAGAGCATCATGAGATCACACAAAATTGACCGACTGGACTGCTGGCCAACCGGAGGCGGCGGCAATGATGACAGCTTCTGTTGGCCGTGCTCCAAGCATCGATAGACAATGGGCGCGTGCTTTGCCTGAAAAAAAAAAAAAGGGAAAAAAAAAAAAAAAAAGAGGCCCTTCTATGGTGGAGCAATAAGTTGGCAGTTTTCCCAGCTTCATGGGACATCCTGGATGATATCGACTAGGTGCAAAGCTTCCGAGTATTTTGTACCCGCGCTGGTGAAGTGTAAGTTATAGTAATACAAAACGTTGGTAGAATTTCAAGACGGTGACGAATATAGAGAATTGACAGCCCTGCTAGACATGGGGGCTCATCCGTTTTTTTTCTCCTTCTCTGTCTCTCTATCTTTGACAGTGATCTCGTCTTCTCTCGAGTAATCAATCCTCTCACTCCTCATTAACACAAGCAAACATAGTTGTGCAAACCCGCGGGAGGGTCAATCAAAAGAAGCAGCCGAAGCAGCAGCAACAGCAACAGCAACAGCAACAACAACAGCAGCAGCAGTATATTGCTTTTTCACTTCATCTGCACTCGGCCACGGGCGTTCCTGGATCTCTATCTGACACAAGTTCATCTCGAAAGAGTCGCGCCCCCTCCTCGCCGTGCGCCATCTCAGCCCGAACTAGCCTACCACAATCGAGCCCGGTCAGATTTGCACAGGCACATTTCGGCCCCCCGCATTACGCCGCCGGCAAGCTCAAATCACTTGCAATTTCCAGACATTGTTCGTTTTTCTTGCTGTTATCTTGGCCCCGGCATTTCAAGAAACGACAAGTCTGGAAAAGTACTGGTTTGGCTGACAAGTACGCCAAGGAGGAAGAGAGAGAGACGAGTAGGATACCAAAGGACTGGAGACCCCGTTATTCCTAAAGCGATTCTTTTGCACGTTTGATCAGCCCGTACCTTAATTCTAGGGCTTTCGTGCCTGGATTGGGGACCAAATATCTTGGCTCTCTTTCTTTCTTTTCTTTTTCTTTTCTCTTCAATTAGAGCCCCATAGCTCGGGCTCAAAGCCTTCGTACCTACACTGGGGTACAAGCACTAGGAAGTACTACACTACAACAACAACCGTCCCATCCATCCATCACATCCCATCCTATCCGAGGAGAGAGGTCTGCAGACTTGATCACTGCAGCCAGCAGAAGCAGCTTATTACAGTAGCAGCAGCACAAGACTTTTACTACAGTATCTACACACCATCTTGCTTTTGGACCCGCCTGTCCTGCTGCTACTGCTGCTTGGCCCTCCATTGGCAGCGGTATCCGATCCGTCCCTTTTTTTTCTTCTTCCTCTTTCCCCTCCCCTTCCCCTACCTAGTTTCTTGTTGCTCATCATACCCAATTACACCACCCCCTGGCCCCATCCCCTCGGCGGCAGCACTGCATCATACACACCACCATACTGGCACTCTCCGGTGTCATATGTGGGTTCTGCATGTGCTAAACTTGCGGAAGCCTTGAGAGCTTGCTGAAAGAAAGAGAGCCAGCCACACTGCATTGCGTCTCTCGTTGCGCCTTTCAAGGTAACATTGCCGCAGGGGCCTAATTACTTACTTTTACTTGACTGGTCGCCTGCCGGGGACGTTGGGATAACTCAGCGAAAGAGAGAGAAGAGAGAGCGAAGTCAAGTAGGTACTTCGTACATTTACATTACCCAGCACTGAGGTACCTACTTTAGTGGTTGGCTCGGGTCCAAAACGTCACTGGTGGTCTGTTCTGGTCTCTGTCGGTACCTTAACTCTGGTCCTGATTTGATCCCTGGTCCCTGGTCCTGGTCTTCCCCCAAGGCTGGCAGCAGCATTCCCAAGCAGAAAAAAACTCTCCGCTTTTAATCATCGGCCGCGCCCCCCATCCCCTCCAATCTTGTTGGAATCTCCATTCCCAGTGTAAGCCGGTTTCTACTTCTCGGCTTCGGGGCCCTCCCAAAAAGACAAACAGACAATCCAGTCTTGTTGCTTGCTTTACTTACATGCCAGTTGGGTATTCCCCGGGGGACACTTCCACCGATTACTCGTTCCGTCATTTCATCGGTTTGGGATCGACCAAGACAACCTTTTTTTCCCTCCTCTTCCCTTCTCGTTCCTCTCCTCACACTCTTATTTTCATATGAATGATTGAAGCTGTACTCGTCAGGTGGTAGACCTGCTTTCTGCAATAATATGCAGCGGGTGTCCGCCTTGCTCCCATCATGGGATCGCAGCAGGAATAGCGCAGGCTCCAGTGGGAAAACCAGTTTGGACAAGGTCCGCGGATGGGCTGATCGAATCCCGTCCTCTGGCAACAGATTGAGCACGGCATCGTCAAAGACTGGGAGGGAGTTGTATGCGCCAACAACTCTCGACAGGGAATGCGAGAGAGCCGCTCGCATCTTGATATCCTTCTGCCGTACGTTGGACTGATTGACTTGCCCCAATTGTTCCCCTCCTAGAATCCGCCTGGGTCTCACAAAGTCTTGTTGACCCTCTTCTCTGCTCTGCCCTTGCTGCCGTGCAGGCCGCTAACACGATCCGCAATAGGTGATGGTTACCTTGTCACCGACGATCGTCCGTCCAGCCCTACGACCACTGCCAGTGGCACATCAACACGTAAAGTATTAAAAAAGATCCCTCCGAGGGTAATACAAAATGCAGTCGGCTTGGCCGTCTTTACTTCCATGCGATCCGGTCTGTGGTCGTCGGGATCAGGAGGTAGTGGTATTCTGCTGGCCCGGAAAACAGATGGAACTTGGTCGCCGCCATCGGGACTGACGTTGCAGACCGCGAGCCTCGGCTTCGTGCTCGGCGTCGACATTTGCGACTGTGTCATCGTCATCAACAGCTTCACTACGCTGGAAACTTTTGGCAGGGCAGCCTTGACTCTTGGCACGGATGTGCAAATGACGAGCGGCCCGGTCGTCTCGCTGGGGCTTTTGGAGAACGAATTCAAATGGGCCGACTTGAGCGATACCGTCTTTACCTATGTCAAGTCAAAAGGGCTATCCACCGACACCAAAATGGACGGGACGGTACTGAATGAAAGGGCCGATGAGAATGAGCGCTTCTACGGCTGCAGCTTTAGTGTTCCCAAGATCCTTGCCGGAGATGTCAACCAGAGCCTGCCGCAATTGAGGCCACTCCATGAGGTGCTCAAATTTGCAGAGGGTAGAAACGACTATGATGCAAACCTGGTGGAACAGCTGGCAAACCAACCGACCCCAGGAGATGCAAGTATCGACCCATCCCATAGTGGCGCTCCGAGCCCCATATTCGGCATCCCAGATCCGGAAGATCCTGATCCCTATGGTGTTTTGGCCCTGGGTCTGGCTGGTTCGGAGATTCGAGAGGCGGGAACACGGCTGCGACCTGATAGCAGCCAATTCGACTTTTGCCCGAGCCCCGCCAGTCCAGCCTTCCCAAAGTACAACCGACAGAGCATGGACACATACTTGACAAGGAGCAACAGGGGAAGTTACATGTCCAACAAGACGGAGCGCAGCCATGTTACCGAGGCGGGTACGCAAACCGATGTCAACACGGCTGCCACGACGCCCAGCCCAGGACAGAGCGAAGCCGGTTATCAGCCATCCATTGAAGAGTCGCCAGAGGAGGAGGAAGAAGTCAAGCAGCCCGAAGAAGTTGACTACACGCAAATTGACATTAGTGCCATTCGCAAATTGACCGCGTTCCCGGACCTCGACGAAGATTTGCCAACCGAGACAAATGACGACAAGGCCCTCGATATTGAGATTGAACAGACAGCTAGCCCAAAGACAATTTCAGAGAGCGAACCCGAGCTTGACGCCGATGATGAGGATGATGATTTTGACCAAAACGAATCAGAAATCTCGGACGATTTGTCGGATGACGATGACGAGTTTGAGGATGCTGAGGAACCTATTGTTTATGAGGTTGCAACCGTACAGCCTCCGCGTATGCTCGCATCTCAGGTCGTACAGATGAAGGGTGCTGTGGTCAACATCCCCCGCCGAGTCCCACCCCCGCTGCCCATGCGAAGTCCAGCTCGCATGTCCCGCACCAGCAAATCCGAGTTTGGGGATGTGAGCATGATCAGCAGCCCCCTCAGAAACGAATTCGAGATCCCACTGCAGGCTGATGATGTTTCCACCCCCAAGGCCGGCGAGTCTTTTGAAACATCTGCTCGTGATTCCATGGACGAAGCAGCAGTACCCGTCACTGAGGAGAAGACCGATGCAACAGACGCAGAAGAAACCGTTGACTATTTTACACAACCAGTGGTAGCTTCAGAGGCACAGAAGCCAACCACCACCGAAATCTCTCACGCCCTAGAGGCCGAGGAGAAGAAGCAAGCAATCGAGGCCAAATCCACCAACAACACGGTGAGCGGAGAGACCACCGCTTAACCATATTCCCTTGTAATTATTCATCTTACCTTCATTCTATCATGATATCAACATTGGCGCGGCGTTTTTTTTTTTTGGAGAACGGCAGCATTATTTTCGCACCGTTGGAACCTGGGTACCTGTGAGATGGTGGGAAGTACAGGTTGGTCGGTCGGTCATTGCAAACTGCGCTCACTTGGGTGTTTTTACGAGGAAATATGAGAAGTGGCATTTGGTTCCGTGTGAGCCCAGACAAATACCCCCCCTTTGGAGATCTATTAGATAATTCATTGTATATATTTAGACGAAGAAGAAGACGAGTACGAAGCATTTTGGGAGTTACATCGCCTCAGTACTGGCACTGATGGACGGGGAAAAGGCTGGGAAGAGGGGTGCTGTTACTGGGACGACAGAGAGAGATAGATATTGCTTGGAAGCCATGTTGGGGGACCTGTCTGGTCGGTCAGCTGGCTGGCTTGGTGGTGCAAACGCCTCCGTCACTGGCTTGCACGGCCTGTCACGGTCTTGCTGATTTGAAGAAATTTTATTCAAGAGAGTTCCCTCCGCCTTGACGCGTCAACGTGTCTGCGCTGGTGCACCTGGCACAGCTTGTGAACTCCGTTTGTCGTTGTCTACCTATTTTGCAGCCAACCTCATCGCCGCTGCTGAAGCTTCTTGTTTCCACATTCACACAACATCTCTGGCTTGAATTCACGCGTTGAAGTCATACCCTATTGATTTTTTTTTTCTTGTTCTTGATTCGTGGGCGCCGACAGTCTCTCAAGAATAATCTCGCCATTCCAACTACTGGCACTGCTGGCGGCTCGATTTATCCATCGGCCTGGCCTCTCGGCGATCACATCTCGTGTCGCCGCAAACATGCCTTGGCCCCGAGGCACTCCCCGGCCCTTTGGCCGTCACACTCGCAAAGATGGCACCCGAAGAGAGCCGCAGGCTCAAGCCGTTGCAGAAATCCGGCCTTCTCAGCTATCCATGTAAGTGAGATAAGCCCCGGTAGAACAGAGCTCTCCACTTTTGACTACTCCTCGCATAAGTGCATCAAATATTTCTTGCCACAAAATTTATTCTTCAAACGCGGATCTTTTCGGACTAATAAATAATCCAGTGACACTCGCACCCGCCGGACCACAGAGCCGGGCAGCCACACTGACCGTAGCACCAGCCTAGACCAGCAGCAGCAGCAGCAGCAGCAGCGCGAACCCACCACTCCGCGTAACGACTCGGCCTCTGAGCGCACGCGCCTGTCTCGAGAAGTCCGGAACTTACAGAATCCTTGGTTTCTGGGTCACAATTCATCCTCCGCCGACTATTTTGAGAGCGACGAGGAAACCGAGGAGGATAATTCTCCACTTCCTTCCTTTGAGGGCCAACATTCCCTTTCCTCCTCCGTGCCTGATTCCCCAGCGCGCGATACAAACTCCCCGCGCCAGCAGCGAGCTGTTCGCAGAGACGTGCTTAGGTCCTCGAGCTTCTTCGACGAGCAATCGAGCGCAAACGACCACCCCAACGCCAACAACCCACCGTTTGAGTCGTACTGGGATCTGCTCAATTGCGATCTTTCCCAGCTTGACCTTAGTCACATTGACCTTACTGCTCTAAACCTTGACTGGGACAGCGTTGAATTTTTCAATCACGATCAAGACGTTTCCATCATGTCGAGTCAACAGGGCAAGTGGCGCGAGGAGCAGGTGCTCATCATCTGCCCTGGCAGCCAGACCACCATGGCTCAGCTGGGTTGCGCCGAGCTCACCCCGCCTGCTAATCGCATCCCCACGCGCATGTTCAAGGATCCGGATACTGGCGAGTTCATGCCATACTACACTTATAAGCGCAAGAAGGCTACCGCCGCCAATGGCGGGGATGACACCAAGCCTTCGGACGAGGATGACTATGAATACGTCGAGGATAGAGACTCGATCGAGGGCGCCATCTATCCCATTGTGGGCGGCCGCATTGTCAACATGGCGGCTTTCTTGGCTTTCCTCGATCATGTCCACAGCCTGCTGACGACCACGTACCACAACACTCCCATTGTCCTCATGGCTTCGCCCCAATGGACCCGCCCGGACACCGAGAACATTGCTCGATACATCTTTGAGAAGACTAAGACCCCGGCTCTCTGCATGTTGCACAGCGCTGTTGCTGCCCAGTACGGCATCAAGTGGCCCACCATGACTGTTGTCGACATTGGCTTTGAAAAGGTCGACGTTACCTGCTTGTATGACAATATGATTGTCGGCAGCAAGACGCTCGGCTTCCCCAATCCCCAGCGCGAGATCTCGGGTGGCGAGGTTTTTACTCAAAAGCTGCATGCGCTCCTCAAGAACAGCAGTTTCAACTACAACATGGCCGAGCAGCTCAAGAAGAGCCCACTTTGCGAGGTCCTCCCCTACGCTGGAGATCTCGACGAGCTCATGGAGCTCCCCACGGAAACTAGCGCACCAAGTAGTCAGCTTCCTGCCGTGGATGCTCTCAAGATTAACGAGCCACCCAAGCCGGCCCCTCAAATCGGTGCCGAGGATGAGGCGGGTGCCGAGGATAAGACTGGCGATGAGGGAGTCCTCGATGTGGCTAATATCGTTACCAGCGGTAATACTCGAGAGTTCCTTGCCAAGAAGGAGAAAGAGAAGGAGAAGGAGAAGGCACTCCGTGGCAAGAAGGGCAAGGGTCAAGAGCCCGAGCCTGCCAAGGCAGTCCGCCTTCCCAACTCGAAGCGAAAGTTTGCTACTTTCCATTACGAAGAGTTAGTCCACGAGGATGTTGACACGTCTGCGGCTAATGGAGCATCAAAGCCCACGTCTGAAAATCCTGCCAACGGAGAAGCTTCTGCTACGGATGCCGCCCCCGGCGGAGAGGAATCCAAGGAGGCTCCCGTCATCAGTGATGCAACCGCTGAGTTGCCGTTCGCCGCAGAGGCACCCAATCTTCCTATAACTGAGCGTAGAACCCGACGTGTTCGCCAGGACTTTGAGATTGGTTTGGAGCGATTTTTGTTTGCAGATCGAGATGAGATTGACCGCATCACCACAACCATCTATCGCACAATCCAGAGCATAGATGACATCTACCAGAGATCCGGCTGTTGGGATAACCTTGTTTTCGTCGGCAATGGTAGTCGCCTGAGGGGCCTAAAGGAGAACATCATGCAGACGTTGCACGCTCGCCATCTGATTTCACCTAGTAGTGCCACCATTTTTACATCGGAGCTACCCTCCAACATGGCAACTCCCACCGGCACCGGCTCACAGACTCCCACTGGCTCGTTCACTGGTCAGCTGCCGTCTGGCCAACTTCCTCTCCCCGGATCGAGCTCCGTCAATCCACTCTTGCAGGCTGCTACAACCGCCTCGATGGGTGTGCCGGGCTCCGTTCAAGCTCCGGGTTCCTCCGCTGGTGATGCAGGCCCTAGCCGCCACTCGCACGCCCAGACGCCCACCAGCATCAAGCTTGCCACTTTGCCGACTTACCTAGCTGAGTGGACTAAGAACGGCTTCGAGGAGGCTATGTTCTTGGGTTCCCTTATTGCAGCACGCCTTGCCTATTGCATTCATAACTTGGATGTTTCGACTCAAGAAGCTCAGCGTGGCATGAGTCTCAACCGTGTTGATTACAAGTAAGTCACCTCTCAGATGATTGACCTGGGGGAAAAAAAGCAAGTACTGACATCAAATAGCGAGCTTGGCCCCAAGGCTGTCAATAGCCACTCTATGCTTGGCTAATCTTTTTGCCATCGCGTATTTGTTCAGATTTTGAATTCTAGATACCTTGGAAAAAGAATGGTCTACCGCTTTGCAGCCAAGATAGCCGATGAGCGGCATATCGATTGAGGCTCTGACAGTATTCCATTGCTTCCCAGGGTATGCTGGTTGTAACGATTACGGCGTTTCTGGTCTTAAAATTGGCGTCCACGGGGCAAAGGGAATTAGAGAGATCTGCAAAAAGACTGCATCTCATATTTCAATGAATTGCGATTGCAAAGGAAGGGGGGAGCGGAAGAAAGGGATTTGGTTTTTGTTCTTGGGCCTGAGTGCCAATGATAATGCTGCTACTGCTACTGCTAGTACTACTGAGCGAAAGGAGGAAAAGGATAGTTTCTCTGGTGCCGATTTGCTTATATAAGTTAGGTGACAGGCCCGAAATTCTTCACTGGACATGCTTCTGGAGATACCCAACAAATGTAAAACGTATGCTAGAAGCAGAATAAAAAAAAAAAGACAGATAAAACTTGATGAGTGTGTTTGCTGTAAAAGGAATATTGGTTCGTTCTCATGCATGCTATTACCAGGTGAGCCATATCGCCGTAATGGGCTACTATATATGCATTCGCCTACCTTAGTAAGTGCAGCACTTGGACTGGCTACAATTGACTACGTGTCAGGAAAAAAAAAGGACATTCAAATCACAGAACAAAAGTCAGAGATTGTATGGCAGGGTAACTTTGGTTTGTTTCTATTGAACTGTGTTTTGAGTTTAGGGGAGCAAATCTCCTCGACCCCCAAACCCCTGCTGAGCACAGAACGGATGCTCACAACTTTGCCGAATTGACCAAGAGTTTAACATGGCCTCGGATAATCTCAATATTACAGACTCCGGCCACATGTTCGTGGAGTCCAATTCTCCTCACACATAGACCGTACGAAGACGGGCAGCGACAAATATGAGAAGGGGAGAAAAATGAGAATCAAAAAAAAAAAAAAAAAAATTCATGTGCTGCGTTACAAATGACAGCTTTTGCTCTTTTGGCCAACTCCAATTACGCCGGGCAAAGTCCCCGCTGCTGCTGCAAATGCTAATGCTGTTGAAGGAAATATCTACTAATATGCGTCTCCAAAGTGGGCCGCGATGCCACCAAATGCGTCGGCGGACAGGTCGAAAAAGGGTAACTGCCCATCTATCCATGGATCATTGTTTTGTGTCAAGATGCCGAGGTCGTTGGTTACATTGAAACGTTTCCGTTCCTCGGAATGTAATTCAAACTCGCTGGGATCGTCTTTTGTGGATGGTGATCCTGTAGCATTGTCAGGGCCAAGCATGGCCACGGCTGAGGAGGCATAAGATTGTATGGGCCGCAAGGTATTGCTTTCACCTCTCCACGTGTCTTGCTGTGCTCCAGAGCCATTTTGTGCACCATTGGTGTCGCCATAAGGACCGGATGCATGATTGATGGCAGTGAAAGTTGATGGGCCCGACCTTGGCGTTGGAACCCGGCTGAATGAAGGCAGACGGCTGTCGACGGGTGAGGCACGATCAAGCGTGCTGGCCCTGGACCGATCCTCCATGCTTGACATATCCGAAGGCTCCAGATGACCGAAATCTTTGAGGAGCGCCATGCGCTTGTACTCTTCGAGGCCTCCACCTTTACCACCGTGCCGGACGCCCAGACTTGTCTTCTCGCTCAGTGCGCGATTATGGTCCACATGAACCTCATAGTCGCGCTTGATCTTGATGAAATACGCGTCCATCTTCTGCAAAACCGTAATGTAAGTGCTTGCCATGCTCAGACACACCGACATCTTGGTAAGCGTAGTATAGGTCAGACCTAGGGGACCGTATCGAAATATGTCCACATCCCTCTCGCCCTCGTGAGGCTCGTTCCACTTGTGGCTGAGAACGTGTTCTTGCACATCCATTTGCTCAAAATGGATGGCATACAGAACCACAAATGCTGCAGTCCATATAGCGAACATGACAATAGTCGATTGCGGGAGTTTGTCCTTCTTTTGGCAAATTTCAATCAAGTCTATGATCTCTCGGGCTGCCTTGAAAACCTGTTCCGCGCTATCAAGCCAGAAGCCATCCGGCGTCTGCTCCTTGGGGAATACAGGGTTGTCAAGTGGACCTTCTGGTCCCTTGCAACGTATGGGCACAAAGGGAATGTATCTGTCGTCAAGTTAGCAAATCTTACGAATCCATAAAGGATGTAGGTGACACCCTGTGGCCAGAGGTGGCACCCCAGCTGGGATCATGTGGTCTTACTCTCTATGTAGCATAATGATACACACATTCCTGAGCATATGAAGCAGGACGTAGACGCTTGAGGCCTGGTGATTTTCATGCTTGAAATAATTCGAACGGGAGAACGTGAATGTGCCTGGAAGATTTTCTTCAAACACGAAAAGCCGCTCGCGCAGCTGACAAAACCTCGTCTCCGTGTCCCAGGGAGGTCGCTGCTCAGTCAGGCGGCCTCCATCCACGCTGTATCTTGAGATGTCCCCCCAGAGCCCTACGAGGTGTACAAAACGGCTCAGAACACTGTCATCGGTAACACGCGGATCGGTTCGCGAGGGATTGAGGAAACCAGTGCTGGCGTCCATCTCCAGATCAAACTTATCCTCCGAGCAAGGCAATTGAATCAAGAGCTTGGTCGAATCAATAATGGCTACCCGTTCCTTGCCGCAGGCCAGCATTCGATCGAGAATGAAACAGCTCCACATCGTTCGTCGGCAGACTTCTCGTTCCAGGATGAGTTGAGATTCGCTGATAGAGCCATTTTGACGTTCAACATGCTGACCAACCTTTCTGAACTCCCTGTCGATGGAGCCAAGCTTAAGGAAGTGAGCCATTCTGACAGCAATACCAACGAACATCCACGCCCCTAGACCACCAGTATTTGGCCGCGTCTGGCCCCACTCATATAGCCCAAGCATCAACAGAGCTTGGACACGCTCGACGGACGCGGACCCCATAGCATTCCTCATCGACCCCAAAGCACGGGTGAGAGTTTCCGCATAGTATTCAGATGCCGCAGCAGGGTCAACCTGGGTCTGGACGGGCCGGGACCTTGCGTTGCCGCCCTGGGAATTGCAGATATGAGCCAGATACTTGACCAGATCTGGATGATACCTAGCGGTCAGCGTCAAAATGCCTAGTAATACCAGGTTGAAATCTGGATTTGGATCGGGCTGTTGGCTCCTAAACCTGCGGCCCAGCTTCTCCTTCATGGTCGGCAAATGCAAAAAGGGTAGCTCGGGGGCAAAGTGAAGCTTGTATAAATCAAGAACCTGATCCCAGATGTCCTCTGTGAGAAAAGGAACGGAGAGAACCTCGTCGGCGAAGAGAGTACCCTTCTCGTTGTCGAGCTTGGAGAGCTCATCGATTTTCTTGAGCTTCTTCCTGTCTGAGCCTCCATCTCTCTCCTGCTTCATTGTTGAGGGCGGATCGTTTCTCTTGGGAGGCGCCTGGTTTGGTTCCGGAAGCTTGAAGACACAGTCCTTGCCAGTCTTGAGACAACTATCACATGGGCTCGTGCCGCCATTGTTCTCGCATTTGATCTTGGACTTGCGACACCGGAGGCAAGCAATGCTGGAGCGCATAGGCGGACGCATCTTGGGGCCCTTTTTGCTCTCAAAAGCCAGACCTGCTAGTATAGGCTTCATCTCATGGTCCCCATATCCGCGCGCCACAGCCCCTACACCTGACCCTTGGGAGAGATCCGTCGCTGAGGATAGGTGTCTGTCTGGCGGAGCCGGTGGTGTAGGCGGGACTAGAGGCGCATCGGAGGCCGTCGAGGAATCGTCAAATCTCCTCTTGCTTGTCGACTGGTATGAGGAGACGGTTTGTGTGTCATCCGTGTCTGGAGGATCTGGTGGCGAGAGAATGGATTGGATGCGGATTGGAGTACTAATTGTGCCGGTTTGGGTCTGTATAAGACCCACGAAAATCGATTAGAAAAGAAATGGTGAGCGCACCAGCCTTTCTGCGTCGCAATCTAGTCGTATGTAGTAGTAGAAGTGAATCTTGCGGCGCAGCAGTGTGACTGCTTTAAAGGTTGTCAAACAAGGGGGGGAAAAATTTAAGAAAAAAAAAATCCCCCAGTATTCCTGTACCCAGCCGCAGGGCCGCGAAAGGATTTTGCCTTGTCCCGTATGCGCAATGGCAGCAACGCCCACTGCCGATTTTTGTTTCCTTCGTTCTCTTTCTTTCTTTGCTCCCTTTCTTTAGTAAGCGCTGCGAGCCTGAGACACTTGATTTGTAGCGTGCTACAGCATTACAACGCTGCAATTATTCGTACAAAGACCTGTAGACAGCAGAATGGCTTAAAAAATTGCACAAGGCATAAGGCACAATTCTGGACAAGTCGGGTTTGGCGGCAGATCTACTAAAGACGAAATTCTTCTTGAAATTATAGCGCAAAGCTGACCGGAGTAAATCAATGTTTCAACTGCAGTCTTGGAGTATGGCAGACTTTGGAACCGAGATAACTAGCCGTCGAACGGAAAGGAAGTGTGAGTGAGCTGAGAGGTTCGCGGGCGCGAGTTGGAAGATGACCTGTCTGGACCTATGACGACGATTTTGTGGGTAGGTAATAACCAGTCAGTTTTGGGAGACGCTCGGGGGTTGGCTGAAGCTGGTGATAGCTCGTGCGACCTAATCTTGGGTGTGTTGAGAGCAGACAAAGTGCCGTTCAGTTTCGTCGGTAAGTTCGAGGAGTATGAAAAGATGTTTATTAGGTAGTAGGCAGACAGGTAGGTTGAGATAGGTCAGGTAGCAGGAAGCAGGGAACAGCCCAGACTACATACATTTACACAAAGTTTAAGCGCATCGGAAGCTGGGACTGGCTTAGATGGAACTGGACCTTTGATGGACGGAGCTGGCAAAGCCGCAAGCTCGTGGCTACCGTAGAGCTAGCAGTAAACTGGGCCGCTAGGATAGAATTCCGGGGACGGGTAGACCACCAACCCTAGGACCGATAGTGCTAGCCAATGCCCTGGCCGAGAGAGACCAAAAAGGGGGGGTCGAAGCCCGTCCAGGGGGACCCCCCAGCACCCACACGCATTCCTAGTGCGCTAGAGTTACATGCCACAGGACGCCAGACCGGTGCACTCCAGCTAATGAGAAGAGGTCAGTGGCCTCTACCTTAGTCCATACCTACCCGTATGTGTAGGGTAAACTAGAGTGAATATGCCTAAGATCTAGTGGTAAAGCCATGGCCCGAAGAGCATCTGGTTCCCGCTCGAGCCTGCCTACCCGTCTGGTCCATTCATAGCGAATCGCTAAAATTACCTAGGGCAGATGGGTACGTCTGCTTGTAGTGTAGTTGGATAAATGTATACATTACATACACACAAGTTTGCTCGGATCAACATCCCGCAGCCCAGGAAAATTTCCACATACTTGTGTATGTAGGTAGGTGGTATTCATTGATATTTGATGTACGCCAGTGGAAACGCACATGTTGTTCTTATTTTTTTTTTCTAGACACGCGCACGCACACGCACATATACACACTCTAAACAGCACGAACTATACTGCATACTCATACACGTTCGATAACTGGGGACATGTCGCTGCTTGAATGAGCAGATCGGATTGCTTTCTAGTTCACGGCAGCTCGTCGCCCACGTTGGAAGTCTTGAAACGTTTTCTCCGTAGTATTCAAGGTACACAGCAGGTAGACGGACCGAACTCGCAGGTAGTCGGAAGTCAACGAGAACCCCCGGCTCCCATAAAAAAACAGGCGCGATAACCACTCTGGCCGGACCCCACGTCTGAAAGTACTAGCTGAACCAATCCATGTACATCGCTGGGTAGGTACATTACCTACGGACTGTAAGGTAGGCATGCCACTGGGCTTTTGTCGGCAGGCATCTTGATTTTTTTTTTTTTTTTTTGTCAGTTTCTCCATACACACACACATGTATACTGTCTACCGATGCCTTGGAGGGATCGATAATTCATCCAACAAAAATGATCAAGCATTGAACAAGATCCACGAGGAATGATAGATATCTCACTAGAGCTGCATGTCTCGCCTCTGCATTGCCGACCCTATCAGTCAGTGCTTCAATGTCAATAAGTACCATCACATGGGACATGTCCTTTCATTGTCTCTATGCGTAAACTCACAAAGATAGAGTTTGCCTTCCCGCGCGCCCGTTACCTTACATACCTACATACATGCCTGAGTAAGTCCTTGTGTGTGTGTAGTCAGGGTCCCTGAAAACCAATCCATCATCGCTACCTACTTTTAGTGAGTCTGATGAGTTGGTTCCAAATTAGCAGGTACGATATACAGCACTTTGCTTTGCTCTTCAGTGCTTGATAAAATTCATGGTAGATCACCAGCCGCGAAACCCGGGGAGGTCGGCAGGCCCGGCCATTACCTGTCTTTTGCCCAGGAAGGGTGGCATTGAGCAAGCCAGCCTACAAAGGAGACAGGTCGGGTACATGTTGGGATTGCCTGCCGCCAGAACGGTTGCCCGAACCAGAAAAGCGGTGACAGGCCCGAGAAAAGCAACCAAATTTAGAGACATGTATCACCTTCGCACGCACCATGACAAAACGAAGCCAACGGTGGCTTTGGGGCTTCGTTGGGAATGCTGTTACTGAGCAAGCAAGCAAGCTGTAGTAGGTAGGAGACATAATATTGTAATGCACGTACCCTGCGCGCGCCGCGGGCTGATGGGTCTTCCCGGTAGCCAACACGCCATGGATTAATTGGGTTTCTCAGCGCATGCTCCAGACTTTCAAACTTCACCTTCTAGGGATCTCACACGACCTGACCCAGTCAGCGTGGATGCCGTGAATACAGAGTGCAGGGAATTGTACCATATGAAGTACTAGTAGTATAGACGATGGTACATGATGTCTGTCCTACATGCGGCTATAAAACGCACATTTGCGCACGACCACTATTACTGGGCAGCACGTACCGTAATGCATTGCAAATCCCTCTCCTGCTATGTGCACTAAACGGACCCGGCAGCCAGGGTAAGAAGTGAGGGGGATCGATTCTTCAGCGGGAGCGATTCGCACCGCTGGCTTGCCCGGCATCCACCCACGAGGAAGGGTGCGCAAGGTAGTGTAGCGTCACAGAACATGACCTATGGCAGGCAGGTCACAGTAACGTAGGCACGGTACCTAATGTACCTAGGGATGTAATGTAGGTATCCCGCCCGCCCGACCCCCAACTTTAGAAAACCCGAACTGCTTGCTTCGGTTGACTGATCAACATCTCTCGTTGGGTGCGTGCCGGTCACGCCGCCGCTTTCACCCCCCGGCAACCCTTGACTAGGACCCATTGGTTGGCGAGATTGCGCACCCCTTGCAAAGAAGGTGTGGAGCGGAAGGGGAGATTGATCCATTCGTGATGCTCCGTTTGCCCTCATCGCTTCGAATCCTCCGCTTCCCTCGCTGCCCACTGCCGAGTGCTAGGATCCCAACATCTCAGAAAGTCACAGAGAGAAGATGAAAGAGAGGGGGGGGTCCGCTACGGCAGAAGCATGAATGGTCAAGGAAGTGTCCCCCAGGCAGGACTCTCTGCCTTCTCGTCCTATCAGCCACCACTAACACTACTACTAATTACATATCTCCGTGTGTGCTCAGCACCTAAATCAACAAGACCCGTGCCTGGGGCGGGACACTAAATCAAGCATCTTGGTGCGACGCCTAAATGCGATGCTTGGCTATAAGGTACACAGGTGTGGGGAACTCATGTGTGATGAGACTTTGAGCTATGAGTCCGTCCTATTGATGCGAGACGTCGGGCCGCATTCCAGAATCGGCCCTTCGCGACCGCAGACCTAGGCTATGGCTCGCATGAAGGAACCCAGCCCATACTACACAACACTCGACGCTCATTCTCTTGCGCCAGACGCTGGAGCAAACGTGGAACAACACGAGCGAAGAGTAATAATAGCAGCAAGACTTCTGTATTTTACCCATGCTCGAGGTGGATTGTGCATTTACAGCTCCTCGTCACGTTCCTTTGACTCAATCACGCTCGCCCAACACGATGCACTCTACCAGGCCAACCCCCATTTATCAGGGGGGGCCAGATGCACGTAGGCGCTTCCGAGGTCCCCCAAATACCCGCCCGGACTCTGACGCGGAATGCGACGCTGGTGGTCGATCGGCAGCTCGGGGGCGCGCAAGGGTAAAGCAAATTGCTCTCTCTCTCTCTCAAAGGAGTCGTTCATCCATCCCATGGTCCTAGGTTGGTACATACTGTCCAGTTTCCACCCCCCATCATCGCTGGATTAACGCACGCATGCATTTGACGCCCCAATTGCCCCCAACATATACCTGCGCGTGTGCTCGATATGGTGCTACCACCATCGTGGCATGCGGGTGAATCGGACGAATCACCTCATCACAGAAGTATCTGTTTATGGCAAAATGTTCCGAGTCCTGATCCAAATTGCATTGATTTTGCAACCCTTCTTCTCAGCGGTAGTGAGGACCATTGCCGCAAAGTTATGAATATGGTCTTTTTTGGGCTGAGTGCTTACAATATTAGGTAAGTTTTGTCAATCTAGTGGTCAACCAGTACTCCGTACTAGGTAGGTCAAGTAGATGGATGAGTAGGAGGTCCTGGTAGCACACAGTAAGGTGCTTATTTGATGCCACCCACCACACACAAGGCGACCATGGTTGGTCGCCTCGACCCATGCCCCGGTAGAGCTCGGCAACAGCTTTTGAGCCCAAAAGTTGCACGTCTCCTAATAATGTGACTGGGATGCCGTTGGTGATTGAATCTTGAATATGTGCATGAAGCGGCAAGTAGACAGGCCCCGCGCGTACAAGGGTATCTGTCTCTTTTTCCCTCTCGTTTTGTTTTTAATTACCACGTTCCATGTGTACCAGTAGGTGTAACTTTTCTGGAAAATCAAAGATAAAACGGTGCTGCTTTTTTTGAAATGTCTGCCTGCATAACGTACATGGGCGAGCTACAAAGTACCTATGGACGAAAATATTCCTTCCTGGTTCCAAACTTCGTATACTAAGATAAGGACTTTGGCAGATGCAGCGGCGAAGCGGAAGATTAGAATATCAGCGTTGACGTCGGCTGTGCACATATGGTGTATCTGTAGGTTGACGACTACATAGACTGCTAGCAACTGATATGCAGGTCTACCAAGGTTTGCATTCTCTTTGAAGTCCATGCACAAGGCCATAGTCGAGCGGGAGAGCGGGCACACGAGTATAATCCAAACTGCGAAACAGGAGCCACTTGTAATCCATACAATACTCCTTGAGGCAAATTCTCTCCGATTCTGAGTCGCCAAGTTTGATTCGGATGGTGCGCGTCGCAAGTTTCTCGCCGCCACAGGTTTTATGGTGTGCCTGCTACGGGCAGATTGAAGTTCATACTGGTAGGTGACAAGTAGGTCCTTTATCATCGTCGCCACTTGCCGGCGGCCTCGTATACTTATCATTGACCGGAGCTATATATCTGACTGAGTCAAGTGTATATATGTAATATCATTCAAGATGGGTATCTACAGATTCAAACCCACGCTTGTTAATCGCGTGCTGCCTAGAATTAAGCAACGAGAAATCACGCTTGCGAGAATCTTGGCTGCTTGCACGCGGATGGAGCACAAAGAATATATGGTCTTATGATAGCTAACCGGGTTGAATTATTGTTCCTCACGTGCCACTCAGGCGAGACGCGGCAACACTGCCACATTCTTGGCAAGAGACGAACCCCTCACGAAATGCGCGAATGAAGGTTCGGCGGGCGGCGGTTTTCAACATGTCAGAGCTCGAGCAACATTTCTAACCTACTGTAATGTAGTGAGCCAAGCTTGGCGAGCTTGGGTACGGGTGGCCCATGGCCTGGAGCTTCTTTCTGTCACAGAAAAGCGTTCCAGCCAGGCTCCCATGAATGGTTCAATGTGGATGGATGGGTAAGGTAGAGGAGGGCGCTCTTCCAAGGGGGTGTGGCAATGCAAAGTCGCCCTCAAACGCCGCCGATAATGACGTCGCTTGTGAGGCCTCGCTGGCAATACAATTCAAGTTATATCATGCTGTACTTGACCTGGGCGCTTAAAGTAATTCGTCCATACGCTGAATAGTAGGCAGAGTATACATTTTTAACAACTACCTACATTACCTACTACCTATCTATGCGCCCACCTCGACAGGAACAAAAATAGCAAGAAGACGGCCAGCCAGTACGACACGGGGGCCCAGAGAAAGGAAAAGGTCCACACCCCACCACCGCGCGCGCAGCCGTGACAGCACCAACCAACGCACTGCATCCCTACTGCGAGCACCAACTTGAACCACAATACTCGAGGCACAGCGCTAAACCTCACCACTCTGGCACGACGATAGCCGCCAGCAAAACATAACCAGATTTGTGCCATTCACCTCAAAAGCACTGCCAAAGCCGGTTATCCGAGCAATCCCCTAGATTCCAGCCCTGCCGGCATAATATTTCCTTACCTTTGCAGCAGCCGCATCATCTCTAGAATGTCGTCCGGTCACAATGTCAGTATATTCGCGTTTTTCTAGTCATCCTTCCCCCCCCATCCCGACCCCGCTGTGTTATGCTGAGGTGTATATTGGGCTTTGCTAATTTATCTGGAAAGGAACCGAGGCTGTTGTACGCCTTCCAGGGCGTATCTGCCTACCATTTGCACAATGGACGAGAGGAGTCTCTCACGCCTGCTGGACCCCAGACCTTGTCCCTCTTGATGGTGCCGACTTCGTCGAGTTATGCAGATCCAGCATCATTTGACAGCGAGGAAGCCAGCCCCCAGGACTTCTACCTGCATATGCATCTTGTATGAACTGCCCCCTCTTTGTGCCCCCTTTTCGGTGAAGACAATCTCCCGCTGCATACCCAAAATGACCAACTCGCATACTAATTCCAAATCCTTTTGATTGTCAGCCCCCAGAGCTAGACATCCCTCTACCGGCAACCACGCAGATATATCATCAGCCGCCAACAAGCTACTTGATCCCGCGGTGGGATCTAGGCCCAGAAAGCGGGGCCTTCACCCGTCTGGAATTCCCTGTGCCAGGCAGTCGGAAGAATTTACAGGAAGACGTCGACACCTTTGAGACCATCTTGGCTCAATGTACGGCCTTTTTGGAGCGGGCTCCCGTGCCAAAGTCGGCCAAGGCGAGAACTGCCACCGGACTTTCGACCTCTGGCTCTTCTCCTACAGCGTCCAAGTCCAAGTCAGCGATCAAGGATGATTTGCCTGCGTACAACCCTGGGGACTATGCCCCGGGACAGGGCTACGCCGATGGCGCCCAGAGCAAGAATGCGGGCGGGAAGATCGTCCTCATCGACGAGGAGGACGGTAGCGTAATCGGAGAGCTTGGGGAAGGGTATCAAGTGCTCGAGGACTCTGCTCTAAAGCCTGGCTCAAAAGGTATGTACCTTGTATCAATGAGATACTTCAACCTGTCATGTTGACATTGGCATAGATCCGGTGGAAATCACGCTTCCTACCGAAGGCCAGGACACCCTGGCAGTTGCGCCAGCACCAAAGGAGTTCCTGGAAATGGAGCTGCATCCAGCTTACAAGAAGTCATTTCTTGTCTCCAAAGCTGTATACGCCTCGCGCTTGATTGTGACTACCTCCGATTTTCTGTCTAAGGGCATGCAAACCGGAGCCGACAGCTTCAAGGCCAAGACAAAGCCCAACGAAAAGGCAGTCACGTTTAATCCCACCACTCACGAACACGCTCGTCGCATTGGCAAGTTTTCTGGCAATGTTGCAGAGTTGTCTGCCAAGACGGTTGGCCAAGTTTCGAAAGTGGCACAGAACCTGGGAGCCAGTCTCGCAGGACGAAAGGCGAGAGATAGTTCATCCAAGGGTATCGGGCCAGATGGCCAGCCTATGGAGAAATTCAAACCTGGCTTGCTCAATAAGAGCTTGATGGCCTTCTCGACAGTTGCTGATGGCATAGAGTATGCTGGCCGAAGTCTCATGAACTCTAGTTCGTCGGCTGCCACCGAAATGGTGACGCATCGCTGGGGCGAGGAGGCCGGACACTTGTCGAAACATTTAGGAGGCAGTGTCAAGAACGTGGGCCTGGTTTACATTGATGTCACAGGCGTGTCAAGACGAGCAATCATCAAGGCTGTTGGCAAGGGTATGGTGGTTGGCAGAGTAAAAGGTGGAGGCCAAGTCATTGTCGGCGAAGACACAACGGAGCTGATAACTGATGGAGGCAGGCGAGGATCTGGAACGAGTCTTGCACGAGATGATGCGAGCATCGGCGGACCATCCAAAGGGAAGCAATTATATCAATGATAGGGAAGGGGGTTTTTTTTTTGGTGATGTTCCACTAGTCAGAATGTAGAGGGTGGACCAGTAAAGAGCACTGCAGACGCAAGGGCGTATCGAGCAGGTTTAGATCAACGGGGTTAGTTGAAGCGGCCAGGGGCACTTTCACTATGTTGTTCAGGGTAGGCTCAATAAGCACGAGACAGGCGAATTCAATTAATCATTAAAGATGAACCAATCATGTACAGTTAGTCCATGTGTTGGCTGATTGCCAATGGAGAAGACAAAAGTATCGGGTAACGACTATAACCTTGTATACATCACGTGATTGAAGCGTAAAAGATGGGTTGCACATGCCCAACGCGTCTAACCGCTCGCTAGCCTTCTACATTAGCGAAAGCGCGATTCAATCCAGTGAGTGAGGCGGGTGCGTTTGACAGAAGGACGGTGGCCGCTTGGGCCGGGCATCAAAGCACCTCCATCACTCAATCAACTCACTGTATCTCCAAAAAGAATATCTTCAAAGGCCGGTTGTGCTCCCCAGTCACTTGATCTTGCTTACGATTAGACCTTGTGAGACTCACTCTGCTGGCTTGTTACCGGTACTTCGGAGTGCACGCCGGGCTTTAGTGGAGAAAGCAACTGCAGCACTGGAACAACTCGAGCTTCAAGCCGTTGACACTGCAGCGCTTCTTTGGAACCTCATCCTGCTGCTTCGAGGTGGTCCTTCAGGCTGGACTCAATGTGTCGCCTCGAGATTCTCGGTTGTATCATACTCTTCTTCTACGACATCAGCGACAAACTCTCGCAAAAGAAGAGGTCGCACGTCGCTGGAAGTTGTCACTCCGCAACGACCCTTCGACGGTAAAGTTGAGGAAAGTCTGTCTCCACGCCAGGTCGGTGGGTGCTCCGCTCTGCCTTGGGTAGGGCGTTCCACTCGCTACAAAGACTTTCTCCGTCAACAACATGTTGCACGAGATCCTGCTCTCCTTGTCCGGCCACCCGTCGCCGCTACTCAGAAATGAGTACTCCGACGCCGGCCCCGGGGCTCTCTTGTCCGCCCCAGAGCGGGATCTCCTCAAGACTGCCGGTCATTTGAGTGATCTCCACTGCAATCTAATCAAATACACGACCCATATCAGCGCGTCGCACCCCTCTGTCATTTGTAGAGCCGCCGCCACAGCCATCAGCGCAGCCCATCTAGCTGCATTCCAACAAAAGATCCTCGACGTTGAGGCCGGTATACTGTGCAAGGATGCCAGTCTTGTTGGAGCCTACAACATTGTCCCCCTGACTGCCGTCATTGGCGAATTCTCGGGTTGGACAAGAAGATTAGAATGGCTATGGGACCTGGTGCAGTTCATGTCCAGGAAGAAGGATGACGGTGCACTTTGTACTGGAGCGGAGCTGATGAACAAGCTACGCGGCGAGCTCCTGACTGGATATGCTGATATCGAAGAGACCGCCTCATCCCTGGTCAAGGTTGCGGAGACCGCCTGGCTCAAGCAAGTTTCTGCATGGGTCCTCTACGGCCGCTTGCCGAGCTTTGGTGCTCAAGACTTTTTCATTTTAAAGGATGAGCATGACGAACAGGTGAGCTGGTTGGCACTATTGTTTGAGATCACGCGGCTCATAAATGACATAGGGCTACAAAGTTGACCCGTCCTTGTTACCCTCATTCGTCACCTCGCATACGGCATCATCAATGCTTTTCATCGGAACCTCTCTCAACAGAGTGCGTTCCAAAAGCGCCGGACAGTCGTCTACAGCAGGGACACTTGGGCATCTTTCTTCACAACTGCAAGAACTCTCAAGCCTCAGCTTTCCGCTCAGCTCTGCGGCACTATCGAAAGCCACCAACGCTATCCGCCTGAATTACTCGCGGACAGTGTTGCAAAAGCTATTACCTCTTGAGAGGGTTCTTGAGATGCTTCAACTTCTGCGGCAATTTATGCTGTTGGGCCGTGGAGAATTCGCCATGGCTCTCACGCAACAGGCAGACGACAGAACTCGCAGCCGCTGGCGTCGTGCAGACAACCTTGCCTACCAAAAACGTGATAGCCTCAGCACCGTCGTCGTAAAAGAGGGTGAGGTGGCTGCCGTCCTGGCCCGAACCTGGGCTGCGCTAGGCATGATGCAGAGCCAGCATGCCGATGAAGACGAAGAGCTCGAGTTTGCTAGAGATGTTTTGCAATTGACAATGTCAAGTTCCCTATCTACAACAAAGGAAGCGCCCGGGGGCTTGGTTGACACCCCTTTCCGAAACCTTCTGCTCTCCGCCCCGGTGGAGATAACGGTTCGCATCCCTTCACCTCTTGACCTATTCCTGAGCACATCAGATGCGCAGATTTACAGCTGTATCAACTCGTATCTGTTATCGATACGCCGTGCACATCTTCGACTCACGGATCTGTGGAAGATTACTCGACTCCGCCGTCATCATCTTGCGCCCCCGAGAGCGCCATTCAGCATGACTAGGGGCGGGCTGGCAAAGACTAAAACGTTGAGAGAGCGCTGGTCGTCTCGCTCCACATATCTCAGGAGCACATGGACAACGACGAGTGCTGCAATCTTCTTTCTTGCCGAGACAGAAGCCTACCTACAAATCGAAGTGGTTGAGGAGCTATGGTCTGATTTCCTCTCCTGGCTTGCCGACACAAGCGAGTCGGCTGATGATGGGCGAATAAGAGCTCCAGATAGGCACTTACAGAGCAAAACAATCAGTCAACTAAGCGATAATCTATGGGTGCCCTCGGGGTTGTCGAGACACCAGCAGTCTGGCGCCGGCCAGCCCGCCACCACGTTCAAGGTCGCGCACCACGACCCACAAACTCTGTCTGTAGCGCACAGGTTATATCTACGATGCTTGACACGTCGACTATTGCTCACACAGCACGTCTTTACGGCGCCAATGTATAATTTGCTCATACATGCAGATCATCTTGTTGCATTGGTTCATCGCCTCGATAGCATCTGGACCTCAATGGACCTCGAAAGTGACGAGGGTGTGGTGGACGCTTTCTCGAATCTCGAGGCAGACGAAGCCGACGTCAAGACGAATCTGCGCAGCTTGGAAGTCAAGATCAAAAAGGCAGTCGAAGAGGTGATCAAAGTTTTACGGAACCTGAGCATAGATCCTACGTTCCTGGCCGAGATTGAGAATGATGGCCTCTTGGAGGATGAGGATCACATGGCAGAGGATGACCAAAAAAGATACATACCCAAGAGAACTGGTGGTGTCGACCGCCTATTGATGAAACTCGACTTTGGAGGCTGGTTTGGCAGTGGGTAGGTAGGTAGCCCATGAGGGCGATTTCTAGCGCGACAGACGGCGTACTAATGCACAGATGAAGATCACTATGAAAAGTATAGTATAATCACAGTATGTACTATCAATCGAACAAGCCACCAATGCTTCAATGTCCTTGGAACATGCGAGACGCCAGCATCATTAGCTAGTCCACCCCAAAAGGACGTAGTGATTATACCCTAGGAAATTGAAAGGCGTAGATGTCATCGACTCCCCGGCGCATCAGGAATTGACCTATTTGTAATCACCCAAGATTGTACAAGTGAAAATCGCCGACATCGTAACAAGGTTCCTTTTTGACTGCCCCGAACAACGCATCATCGGGCCGCAGTGCATGTCAGCGTATTCGTCATAGTGCTAAAGGAGGGTTTTCAGTCCTCGTCGGGGGGTCATACCCCCTTTTCCCTTTATTTTTCCTCCTCTTCTTTGTTTCTTGTCAAGCAGAGTATGCTCATGAACGCTGCACTTCACAATCATAAAAGCAGTGATGGTGGTCATACGTTCGGATCCGTTTTGGGCCGTAGTTTTGTAGAGATTCAAACAGGAGATCCTTTCGCTAGTACCTGGCTTCAGTTTATATGTACATATATAACAAGACGCACCATTAAAAGGCCGTGGGCGCCAGGGCTCCCCTCTGAGCCCTCCTCATGTATTCATGCTGTTCATGTTTACATTCATCCCCTCCATGATGCTGTTCCGTGCCGCCGAAAGCGTGACATTGGCTCATTGCTCCCGAAGTAGTTTGAACCGACCCGTTGTACATGAAAAAAAAAAAATGCTAACAAAAACCCCTTAGCAGACGGGTATATAGTAGCGATTGTGAGGCAGAGTATAACAAGAGAGAGAAAAAAATCGTAAGTCGTAAAATCGTCAGTCGCTCGTATCATCTGCAGCAATCTCCACCTTCGCAGGTGTTCCGTTGACCATAATGATTATGCAGGCCATTATCATCCTTTGCGCCGCCCCCCCCATATTGCCCCTTGATGTGTATGAGATTTATTTGTCGTAAATACCCGCCGATGATGCGGGATGATCTGTGTTTGTGTCACAAGTGGATGAGTAAGTCTGACCCCTTCAAACCCCCCATTCTTGTGCTTATGCTGCTGCTGACGGCGTCTGTGTATGCGGAGACTGCCCAGGGACGTGAGATTATCTTCAAAATTTCTGTCGTGTAACGCCAAGTCTTACGAGACTTTGCAATTTCTCAATAAGGAATAAATTGGCGCTGTGTGTTCCGCTGAGGCCGTGCGTGATCCGAGTTTCGACGTGAGAAAAGCTGTTGTACAAAGGATTTAGGTGCACCATGGTCAAACTCCACCGTCTTGGATCTCGTGGGTAGACTGATGCGCTGAGCTTGTATGGCTTTGGGACCCCATCGTTGCTTGATGCAATCGTCAACAAGAGCCATGAGCCCGGTCGCGACAACGACACTATATCAAGAATTAGTAAACTGGTGGGAAGATGATGATGAATAAAATGGTCTCAGCAAAATATTACTTACTCTGCAACATCGGTCATGGCCGTGACGAGTTCTTCATCGCTCAACCACATGTGACATGGGGGTACCCATCCACCAGCCTTGTTGTCGTCTCTCACCTCGGTCGGTGAGCGAGTCTCAGGTACAATGTGAGCCACAGGTGTCGAGTTGGAGCCATCGCGGAAGAGATGAAAGGAGACGGCTCCAGTCAATTTGTCTGTGACCCTCTTCCATGCGTACTTGTGACCCCACCAGCTGAACTCGTAGCGCTTCGATCCTTTGCTCCCACAGCGTTCAACATCGACTCGTGCGTAGTTGGAGAACTCAAGCTTGATGGAGTTTGTGGCATGCTGAAGAACCCGCTGATGCTTGTCGGGCGTGGATTCTGTGTCAAAGAGACCACCAAAGTCTTCACCAGTCGTTGAGTTGGAGTAGCTCGTGCCCGGCCTGCTCAAAGTCGACAGCATAGAGCCGGATGTAGGAGCACGTCTGGGCTGAGGCCGACCAAAGGACTTCATGGCGCTGGATACAGACCGCTGCAAGTTTGGTCGGCTCTGCATGGCTGGTTCCGTGTACTTTCTTTTCGAATTGCAGACTTCACGTCCCGAGTCTCTACAATACCTCCGCAACGAAAAGTCGCGCTTGTTGAGATCATACATGCGTAGGTGGAAAAGCTGGATGGTCCTTCTCCTCCTCCCTGGCACTATAGTGTCGACGCGCAGATTCATATTTCCATCCGTGGTGAAATCATCGTGCCTGATGGAGAGCCTGTTCATGCTCGGAAAGAGCTCGGCAAAGTATTCAGGCGAAGAAGGTCGCACATTGGCGTCTGCAATATCATGCGTATATGGTCGTAGGGGCGGTACTGCTGTGTCGTCCACCACATCGTTCAGGCCCATCTCATCAACGTCATCTGTCGAGTTCAATGAAGAATAAGTCTCTACAGAAGACCGCGCATACACATTCGTCGATGGTGAAAGGTCTACGCCACCACGCTCTGGGTCTTGCCTGGGTGCTCTGGAACGAAAGTCCTTGGCTGATGCCATGGCACCGCTTAGTGAACTAGGAGCAGTACTCGAAGAGCCATAGGAGTCATGGTCGTACGAGTCATCGCTGCTGTGAGAACCCCGTGTACTCATGGTTTGACTCCATGAGCTTGTGTCGTATTGTCTTCTAGACATTGTGCTTGTTGTGGTGAGATGAAAATTGAGAAGTGAAGGCTACAATGTCTTCCCCATACGGGATGGTTATTATGTATTGTTGGAGCCGAGAGGTGACCTGTATATATAGATATATAGGCCCAGTGTATTGGTGCCTTGCCGTCGGATGCAGGGTCTTGCAAAATTGGGCAACGGTAAGAAGGTTATAGTTCACGATGTTGTGATTTGGTACGTGATCCAGAGCCTGAGCTGATGGCAGTCAGGTGGGTCTATCTATGAGTCGAATCCCTTGCGAGTACCCTTGTATATATATGTATGTAAGTGTCAATGGTGTGTTGGATAAATGGCGTATAGATAAGAGAGGGGGGGCGAATCAATTCCAATTAATGCTTCAGGGAGAAAGGTACCGGAGAAAAAATCGAGGGATGGATGTATCGATATGAGAGAGGATCATTAAAATAAAAAGGTAGGCAGAAATTGGTTGGACAAGACGAGAGCCGCAGGCAATGGATGATGAATGTTCGTTCTGTTATAATAGGCTGTTGTGGCTGACAAGCTTGACAAGTAGGATGTGCGTGGCGTGACCAGGAATCGTTTGGGCGATCGATCAGGTCCAGGTCTAGGTCCAGTCCAGGGAGACAGGCGACAGATGGTCAGATCACAACGACCCTTGACGAGAAGTTGACGGGCATTCACACAGATTGGACGACGAGGCAGGCAGTCGGCGAACGTGAAGGGAAAAAAAAAAGACGGCGGTTCGGAGCGGCCTTTTACTTTACTCGCTGGCGGTATATACCCAAGCAGGCCTAGGCAATCTAGCAACCTAGGTAGGTCACTTTTGGGGGGTGAATGGGAGGGTTGTAATGGGGCCCGGTGCCGCCTGAAGTCGGGATGAAGATGAGATGGTTGGCCGATGGCGAGTGTGCCGCAAGGTACAATGACTGAGACCCCAGGATATGAAGTTGGGACAGATCCTGTTGGTGGAACGGGCAGGTCTTGGTCAGTCTCGCAATCGTGACTGGTTGCACGGGGCCTGAAAGTGACCGACTCGGGGACTGGGGAGGCCTGTCAGGAAAGATGTGGCGCTCCAGCTGTCTGTCTGTCTTGCTGTCTTGTTGTCTGAAGGAGGGTGGGGTGGAAGAAACCGGGCTGACGAAGGCTGGCTTGGCTTATAGAGAACATCTGGAAACTACTAGGTAGGTATAGAACGAAGGAGGCGTCAATTGTTTTTTTTTTCTTTCTTTCTTTCTTTTCTTCTCCCCAGTCGCTTGCACTGATGTATTTTATTTTTGGGTTGTCGAAATTTCAGTTCCGGCGGTCGAGTCTTGACTTCAAACATCTCAAGCTATACGGAATACAGAGAAGCTGCAATGCACGCAAACACTACCTACCTACTAATTTAGGTACCTTTTCGTTACTGTATATTCAATGTTGCCCACCGGTCACTTGGCCAATAAATCCACTGATCAACAATCACCTCTTTGCGCCGAGCAGCTCCCATGTTCCAACTCCCCTCAGTCATACGGCATTACAGCACGCATATATTCCCAGACAGACGAGCAGCAGCGCCGAGTAATAGTACTCTGTAGTAGTCTACTTAGTTGGGTACGTGACCTCCTAGGCGAGCCCCGGCCATTATTTTTCTTCCTTCTCAGAGGCGCTGGGTGGCACGACGTGGGCAGTGCCTCTAGTATTACTCGTGCTGGTACCAGTCTTGGCGATGTCACTCTTTTAGCGCTCGAGATGCGCGCTCCGGCGGTCAAGGTACCCTGTATAGTCACTGTGATTGCATGCCTGAGGCGCTAGAATAATCCACGGAACATTGTGCTTACTCTGATGCTTGCACTCGCTTCGGCGGCAATATATACCTTAGAAGCCCTCTGGTGGATAGGTACGCATCATGTTTCGATGTATACTTTGTACAGCCCATCAATGTCAAAATCGGGCTGAGCCGTGAACCCAACAGGCAGCGAGCAGCAAGCAGTATGTAGTGCACTGGGCTATTGTAACAATACACTCACTCTCTACATTCGGTAAGGCAGATAGGTACATGTACCTAGCGAGCAATTTACATTAGGCCTCAGGGCATACTTTTTGCCTTGGTATAGGTTAACTCTCATGGATCGTGGACGGAATGTAGTGCTGGTTTACCCCCACCTGTCACTGCTCTAGATCCCGCCCAGGGGGCGCTTCCAGGTACCTTGGCATGTGTAAGGTATGAAGCGGGCGCAAGGGCAATTTCATGATCGCAAAATAGAAAACCGGGCACTAGAAACTAAACATGGCTAGTATGAATCTTGCCCTCTCTTTTCTTTTTCTCTACCTTGATACATCGATGCGCGCGCGGGTGACGAGAGTTACCGAAACGGTGTATACGAAATTCTCTTCTTCTCTCTCTCTCTGGACCTTCCATTTCATCCCTTCAGGTCTCGGCTCTTTCTGCCACCCCAATGTATCTTTCCGTTCCTATATTCGGCAGCATGTTTGCTACCGACTCCGCGAGTGACATCACCTGGCATGATTCCACCGACCTACTGTAGAAAGCTTGTCGTAGCGGGCTGCCTGCCACTGACTGCTTGCTACCAGATCATTTGCCCTACTAACTACATCACCAAACATTGCTCACATTGCTTCTGGCTAACCCAGCCTGTATCATAAATCATGACGACGAGAGTACTATGCTCTCTGTGTGTGTCTCTCTCACTCACTCATTCACTCACTCACTCTTGATCGATTGCATGGCTGATAACCTTGTCTCATCTTGGAGCCAACCTCGCCAAGCCAAGCAGTCTAAAATGGAAAGACTACCGTCATAACGAGGCGGCGCAGTGCCCAACGCAAACGCAAACGCAATGCAACAGGGCTGAGGCTTCACTGGTTTGCAGTCACCGGGGGGAAAAAAAACATACCAACCCCTCTAAGCTAGGTAGGTTACTAGGTCAGGTAGGTCGCTAGTTGTACTGAGCTTCCCTACCACATCTTCGTCCAACCTTTGGGGCGGTTTACTACTACTGCCATGACACCGAACTGGCATTTGTCTTCTTGAGCCTCCATACACCAAATACTGCAACATCTTTGTATTCCCCTCGAATCTGTTGAGCCAGACGACAGAGACACTTCGTGTCACACACGGTTGCAGCCACTTCACTGCCAGTATCCTCTTCGGTGTCGTATTTTTGCACCGCCTAAAATGACGTTCATGTCTGACATTGATCCGAGTCTCAGCAAGTCTCGTGCAGCAACAGGGCAGTAAAAGCACCAAACCTTCGTTTCCGCGATGCACTGCTTATTGGCCAGCCCTCAAAAGCTCTCAGCGCCCACTTTCACACACAAACACCTTCATCTCCACCTTTACTACAGCATGTATGTATGAATGAATGTACTATGTATGGTATGTATGGGGGGTGGCTATGCCTCGGCCCTCGAGCTGCTTGCTATAATATCCGCGCGAGTATTTACGTGGCAATCCGCGTCGCTAAACCCTCCCCAGTCGTAGTTTGGGTGCCATGATGCCCAACGGCTGCGCATATGAGGAAAAGTAAACCGAGTTTCCCGGGCGTCTCGCTGCCCCTTTGGCCCGAGCAACTCGTCGTCACCTCATACACCAGGTCCCGACTTCGTAACGAAGTAAAGTACATTGTGGCCCTTGAGCAGTCTCACTACGGAACTGTTGAACATGGACAATCATGCAACCATTCTATCCAACCCAAACTTGCCGTCGAGACCTACACACAATTTGACGTACATTTCCCGCGCTACACTTGTCATAGGGTGGGCACGTTTTACGAAACCATAACAAGCGATTCACCCGAGTGCTCTCGCTCGTCCTATTGATTTCATTTCATTCTCGTCCGTTACTCAACTTTGAATCTCCAAAAGCTGCCCGACGTTACCGGCAAAACATCTCCTCGTTATACTCCTCGTGTCATACGGAATACATCCACGAGCAATTTGCACGGATCTTTACACTGGCCTCCGCCATCGAGGCCCATGTATCTTGTGGACAAACTAGAAAAGCAAAGCCCATGCACATTGCCGTACCCTGAGCGGGGTGTTTGTACCCATGCAATATGTCTCGCGTCTGGTATCTTTGTGCTACATTCACGACATGCTCCTACTTAATTTGCTCTACTATATGGCTTCCGAATTAGACATTATAGGAAAACTCCACCATCATAGTGTGGTCCCAAGAAGCCTAGAACCCGTTCCACCAACGTCAGATCGTCCTTTACTGACGCAGGAATAGTCTTTACGATACAACATCCCGCATCATTGTATCGACTTCTGCATGCTGTGTGGCAGCCCCTCATTCGCCAGTTGTCATGTCCGACCCCGGAATGGATCTATGGCCCTGGTTGCCAGGCACATGGACGCCGTTGAGCACGTGTTTCGCGAATGACTCCATTAGAATTGCTTTTGGAAGGATGCCCAGATCCAATCGGACACAGATATTGCAAAGAGTTCTTGTTGAGGTCCTTTCGTAAAGTCGTGACGTCTGAGGCACGCAAGTCGATTTGGGCAGCCATGAATTCGGTTTGGCAATCGCAATATATGCCGAGACAGCGATATTGTTTATGCTTGCTCAACCGCTTCATAATTATGATAGGCAGATTATTGACTCCTACCTCTCACACCCATCTTGGATGATACAACTTGGGCTTGGAGGGCAATGCCTTCTTTCAAAAAAGGCTTGACGAGTCGTCATTTAGGCAGAAACCAACACCGACTGCACTACTATCCATCTAGTGGTTTTGGAAGCCACCGGTATAGGCATGAGAAGTATTCAGGCCGTCACCACCAAAGGCACCAGCTATTCCAGAAGCGAGAATGCTTTGTTACGAGTCGCTCAAAGAGGCATTCCTTTACTTGCGTTGCACCAAGAATGGACAGATCGGCCAAGTTGGCAAACATGACTTTTGTTATTGTTCTAGAGCCAAAGCCGCTATTTCCGAGAGACAAATGAAGTTCAATGGACATGTCGATCCTCACGATAACTATCAATAGATCCGCCAGATACGACCTGCCAAGTGCCAAGGCAGATTTCCAATGGCTCCCCAAGCTGCATTGCTTTCAAGCACCCCACAATATGCTGTATGCGGTCAACCGGCATCGGGCCTATACTATCTCCCAACCATACTGTCATTTTCCAGTTGTGTTCTGCTGAGTTACAACAGCTTTCTGTTTTGGACGAATTGAATGGTCAACACTGGATCTACGCTTCTCCATAGGCTGTCTTGTCAAACCATGTGCAATGTTCCAAGCGGCGCTGCACACGGGGAGTCCCAGAGTATTGAAGCTTAATCTATCGTGAGGTATAGGCATTTTCCTAGTCCACAGCCTCCAACAAAAGCATGTTTATACTTAGCCACTCATGATCTTGACAAACATTGACGAGTCGCACCGGATAATGAAAACTCAATGGATCGAGTTGATCTATGAGATAGGTATCTGAAAGGCACGATCCACTAGAGCCGCTGTGTTTATTGTTCCGTCCGGTCTAATAAGGATACACGATGGTCAATGCCTGGCTGGCCGCAGTAGGACTTTACACGGTCGTCTCTGGACTCGTGTCTCTCTTCTATAGAAATTGTCACCTGCTTTGAACCTACGGATACCGAAGAGTTTTCTACGTGCCCCCTTACCTGAAAGTTAAAAAAGGCACATCAGTACTCAGCAGCTCAGTCTACTGGCAAATGGAAAGAGTATCGATATGCACTGTCATTCTTTCGTGATGCACGAGAGAAGTATCGGAATCAAAGACGTACAGATATAGCCAAACCCTGCTTACCATTAATCGTATATGCTGTCGAGGATTGGATATCTCATTGTCTGTTATTCGCATGTGGAAGGACTCCCTTACCTCCACCAGACCAGCAATGATCATATACCCAAAGCCATAGATCCAAGGCGATAGATTGCGAACGAAAAAGTAGCTATTGGCCCCAAGAACCGCAAATCCCCTACTTAGGCTATAATGAGCCACGGAATTCAGACACAACAAGCGAGACGGGACAGCCACAGCAGCCTTACAATCGTCATAATTGATATTCTTTGGCAGCCAGCGATGAACAACCTCTATATGCTGGGAGCTTTCCTGGACCCCTTCCTAGCCAGTAAGCCCCGTCCACCATTGGGTCTAATGAGCAAATCGCTTCGCATGGTGTCACCACACGAATTGTGAGAAATCGCTTCGCTGATATGGGCGACGGTAACATTCTTTCCCACCCTCCTCTTTGCAAACCCCCCGGGCTGTCAGAATGATGCGACCTTTCATGCAGCCGAACCAGGCGGGAATGCTAGATTCGGCCACCTGCCTTGCAGGAATCGCGTTTCCCCCCCTCAAGCCGAGCAGCCTCTTTCCCCCCCCTTTCTTCCCTCCAACAACTACCTCTTAGTCCCTCCCCGTCAGCGCCACGGTTCTCGAAGAGAATAAGATCTCACCAATAAAACTGCAGTCATCGTCTCAGTCAGTTTCCCATTGGCGAACCATACCTACCGTCGCCCAAGGCGATTGGAGAATCATTGACTCCCTGGCCTTTTTTTTTTTTGGAGTTCAAGAGGCGATTGGCTGCGGGAGGATGAACATTTGGGTGGATGGTCTCGGTAATCAAGCGAGATCGAGGCCGCGAACCCATTGAGCTGTGGGAAAAGCCTTCCAAAGGGTTCTCTGACGAAGCCTGATATGTCTTCGTATCTGCAGTGAGGTCCTTTGAGTGGGAGAGCCTCACCCTTGGGCCAGGCCAGAACAGATTCATGAGTGGTGCGTCCTCGTCAATGAGAAGAAGAGAGAAGAAAGGGGAAAAGATACAACGCAATGCGTGTACTTAACACATGCTTTGCACATGCATTGGGGTAGAAAACCGCTGTAGATCACCCATTGGTCTTTTCCAGATAGCACACAATGTCCCCATGACCGTTTCTCAGGTATCACAACTTCTTTCCTTCCTTTATCTTACGATCATTGTACTAGGAAGAACCAAGATGCGGTCCGTCGTCTCACGATGCAGCAGCAACATCTGACAAGAGAGCACTAATTCATCGGCAGTGGCAACCAAGTAAGAGAAGATGAGAAAAGAAAAAGAGAAAAATATTGATGCGTTGACGTAATATCACATCTGGAAACAACTTGATCATCTCTAGCTCTCCTCTTGCTTCTTTGGACCCGAGCTGAGTGGTCAAAATTGGCTCTTGTGTAACGTTTCTCCAGAGCAAGGATTTCACATACTGGGAGAAATAAGGGCATGGGGTCTTTGCTGGGCCGCTAGAGAAACTTTCTTGTCTCAGAGACTCCAGAGTAGCACAGCTGGGAGGCTTGGTGTCATCGTCATCTCATCTCAATTCATGATACTCACGAGGAGCATATCGGGGAAGAAGGGCGACAAGGAAAGGAAACCACACTGACCTTCACCAAGCAGTCATTCGGAGTTGCCCGGAGGCTGAAAAAGCTATACTGATGCGAGGATTCCCCCCTTCGATAGAGCAAAATCAAATCCTCTTACGTCAGTATGGTGTTTATTGATAGGTGAAAAGGACTCTTGATACTAGAGGCCCGGGCCCATGGACACAGAATGGCGCTTCCGACGAGCTACTGCATTTATTCATCAGAGTAAACATGATTGATGACTTGACTAGATACCCCCGTGACGCGAGCAATATATTCTGTTGCCGGATCAGGTAGTTATATCCCCAGTGGTAAGCCAGAATTATGACGCTCATCACCGACTGTATCCAAGGCTGGACACAGTTGTGATGATGGCGATTTTTTGCCGCCGAAAATCTGTCATGATACAATACACCCGGGATTTTGTCGCTGCCTTCTGATAACCGGGCCTTTGCGGCTGATAATTTGTCAGTACTTCGTACAGTCTCATTAGAAAACGCAAGGGTCAGGGAGAAGAAAAAAGTCACTCAAAAATGCTGTCCGTCTAAATTCAGTGGTGGCATGTTCATGGCGTGATCTCGCTTGCGCTTAGAGTTCTATTTTCCTGGACGGATGTCACCTTTCTTGGGCAATCGACCTCCCAAGACCCCCCCTTTGTGCGTCACTATGCGTATCTAGTAGCAACGACATCTTTGTCATGATCATGAACTTCGACTTCCTGCTGGAAACTATCACGAGTAGAGCACAAGATGTTGGCGCTCCGCAGTGTGTGAAATAGCTTGATTGCAACTTAGATACAACCACACAGTATTCTACCTCAAAGTTTCCAAGGTGTCATCACGAACAGAAGGCAAGAGGGCAAAGATAAACATGCGAGGTTTCCATCTGCTCGTGCAGCATAATTGCAATCAACTACGAATGCGAGGAATATGATGTGCCGGTTGGTTGCCCCTGGGCGAACCAAAGTATGTATGCAAGGAGTACAGGACAAATGTAAACTATCAATGACACCCCGAAGAGAAAATCGTGAAGCACCACCACGTCGCTCTTGTTTTGGTCCTCAGTCCACACTCATTTGCTCAAGCGTGCCAAGAATAATAGTCTCGCTCATATCTTGGACTGGCGTAATTACTACTTGGACGTAAGATTAACTCATCGCTGAATCGTGACGATGTTATAAAAGATTCATACCTCATACTGATCCCCGAGGAGCGTTGTGAGCTCACTCGCATCAGCATGGGCAGATAGTAATCGAAGGACTCAGGCTCAGACCTCTAATTCTGAGAGTCCCAGCCGACCCAGCTGCGCGGCATGACGCGCCAGATCTTGACCTCTCCGGACCTTAAATCGTCGAGCTTGAAGGATTCCTGCTTCACCTTTTTGTTTTCGCGTCCTTGTTCCCAAGCTCGCACCTTTTTCTTGGTACCATCCCACTCCGCAACAACCGCAACGTGATCAGGCTTGCCGACTTCAACCGAGTATTTTGCGTGCATGGGACCGTGCTTGCCCTGGAATTTGGCGTTTCTGATGGAGATGATATCGCCAGGTCTGATCTCATCCGTCATGTGAGTCGAGGCATTTGCCATGTTGGCATAAACAAGAGCACCATAGGCACGGGTCCCCACAGGAAGTAAAACGTCCTTGAGGGGTTTCAAGAGTTCGTATACCAACGCTTGGGGCGAACCATCACCAACGACTGAGTCCTTCTTGGACGCAACAGCATTGGATATCTCAAGACCGAAACGTTCATATGCCTGCTCCAGTTGATCTTGGCGAAGACTGCGCGGGGGAGGCTCGTGTCTTTGATCCAGATTTGTATCAGCAGGATTCTGCGGATCAAAACGGATGGTGATGATTGTCTGCGAGTAGTCCTGGAACAGTACGTAGACATCCTTGGTAACTACAGTTCTACCGCCGGGTGCCGAAGTAGTGGACTCATCCGATTCGAAGAAGATATCCCTCCGGCCTTGGAAGACTGGTGGCAACCCATTTGGCTGCAGCCACCAGCTGGTGTGTTGAGCCAGGTCAACGTCATTCGCAACAAATCCAGACTCAACCGAGAGTGATGGCCGTCCAACATCCATCGATCTACGTCCTCCAATTGGCCTTTGGGCATCCATCGATTGTCGTGGTGGAGCCCTGCTCGGGGCGGCCTGAGAAGGAGGAGCAGGTGGGAGAGATCGGTTAGCAGGCGGTGGAGGCGGCGATTGATACGAGGGCGCCGTCTCTGGCGATTTGACATCATTTTCAGCTGCTGGTATGTTGTAGGACACGTTTGTAGAAACACTAGGCTGCGCCCCAGAGTACCGATAAGGATCATACTCGTCATCATCATCTTGCTCCGTTTGCACAGGGGCTGGCGGCGGAGGCGGCGGCGGAGCAGCTCGTGGCATGTCTGCTGACGGTCGCGCTGGAGGTGGCGGTTGGCTCGGAACAGGCGGCGGGATCGCTCTGGGGGCCGCGGCGGGAATGGGCGGAGGAAGAGATGGTGGAGGGGCCTCGGACACTGGTGAGCGAAGAGATGTGGTATCATCTAGACTGGAATCCCGGGCGTGCGATTTCAACGCATCTTTGTGAGGGACCGAAGAGGCAATATCCGTATCATAGTCTCCATCATAATCGGTGATTTCACCCTCTTCCCCGTTGTCAAGACGGCCTGGCTTCATGGGAGCGACACGCTCATCCGAAGTAGAACTTCTCTCAGGCGCTGCTCCTGGGGGAGGAGGTGGTGGAGGCCGGCTTTGCGATGGGGCAGGCGGAGCAGCGCCTGGGATTGGAGGCGGCCGGCTATCCCGCTTGCTTGGCAGTCTTGGTGATGTGGGAGATAGCTCATCCCCTCCAAATGAGCTCCTGGTACCAGGACGAGGAGAGGTTGGCGCCATGGTGGGCGAGGCTATGGGAATCGGAGGTGGAGGAGCTCGGGCAGACGGTGGAGCCTCTGATCTTGGGGTTTCGAGTGACCGCATCTGGCTTTCTGACAGTTCATCATCCGATTCCGATCCAATGCTCGGCGAGGTGATTGCAGCCGGAGGAGGTGGCGGCGCCGGTCGAGCTGTGGTAAAGGTCAGCTGGAAAGTCATCTTGATCTTCCGTCGTCGAACTTACACTCGGCTGGGACTGGAGGTGGCGCCGGTCGGCCTCCCGGAACAGGAGGTGGAGCCAAGGGGCTCTTCAAAGCTGTCTCAGAGTAAGCAAATCTAGATTCTTATGTAGTAGTTAGGTATACTCACGCTCGCTTGCCGTAGGTCGAGGACTGGTCGTAGCGATGGGGGTAATATCCTCACCAACGGGCGAATCTTGCTCTTCGACGTCATCAGCCTCTTCCTTGTGGCTTTCACGGCTCATGCCGGGAAGTGCCATGGCGGTGGGTATCGGAGGCGCTGGGCGAGGCGAAGGCATATCTTCCCGACCATACTCGCTTGAGCGTCTTCCGGCGGGTGCAGGCTTCTTCTTCTTGGTTGGGCCAGTAGAAGCAAGAGGAGCAGCGAATGGGTTATGCATGCCCATCATGCCTCCCATTCCGCCCATGCCGGCGCTCATCTTGGCCATTCTAGCGCGAAGTTCCTCTCTGCGTCTGACTTCAGGATCTTCCTCCTCCTCCTCCTCGGCCTCACCTTCTTCTTCTTCGTCCTCGTACCCTTCTTTTTCCTCGGCAGCTTCAGCCTGTGGCAGTTTCCTTGCAGGTGCCTGCGAGAGACGTCTAGACTGGCCATCACTCTCATCGCGCTCAGTCAAATCTTCTGGCCCCTCGGTGGTATCGCCAGCACCTGACATATCTGCCTCATTGCCGTCCTCGGGTACGCTCTTGGACTTTCTTCGTACAGGTAATGGCTGCCTCGGAGGAGGTGCTGGTTGGGCTTCATCCAGAGAGTCTGTGGTGTCTCGTTCCAACGAGGGTACCTCGGGATTTTCGATGGAAGCTCGCTCCGTGGGTTCCTGGCTTTCCGTACGCTTCTTTGGTGGTGGTCGTTTTGGCTTCTCCTTCTTCGCAGCAGCATCGGCGTGGCGTTGAGCAGCCTCCGTTTGCTGCTTCTGGAGGAGCGCCATACGCTCTTTCAAGCTCATGGGTTTGGGCTGATCATCGTCCTCAACCTCTTGGGATGGGCTTGCTACCAAGCCTGCCTTGGCTGCATTTTCTGCATTCTCGGCCTCCTTCTCCTTGATCTCGGGATCCTCATCCCTTCTATAAACCTTGGGAGCAGGCTTTTCGCGCGGCGGCGGAACGTAGGCATTTCTACTTGGAGGAGGAGCAACAAATGGCTTCTTGATGAAACCAGAACCACTGCCGGAGCTTAGAGAGCCCGGCTTGAATGGCGCAATGGGTGGGGCGGCAGGTTTATTGAATGCAGCAATGCGATCTTTGAAAGAGCTGCTGGCCGGCTTCTCCGATACTGGAGGAGGGCCGCCGCGGGCAGGTCCAGAAGCCTTGGCTGGGGCATCGGCAGTTACATCACCGACGGGCGGCTCTGATACGAGTGCTGCGGGAGCGATTGGCTCGACTGGTCTTGGAGCTGGGACTAGAACAGCGGGAGCTTTTGGCGATCGCGGCTCAGCAGCAGGAGGCGGAGAGGCCAGGGGAGTCTCTTCCTCAAGCTCCTCATACGTGGGCCTGGTTTGTTCTGGTACTGATTCGGGTACTGGCTCGATTTCGGGTTCTGGCTCTGGTTCTGTAGCGGCGGGCGGCGAAGTCGGGACAGGAGCAGGAGGTGCAGGCTCTACCTCCTTCTTCTTCGTTCTTGTTGGTCGTGGTGGTGCGACTGGTTCATACTTCTCGACAAAGTTGCGAGGGAAGATACCCTCCCGCTTCTCCCCGGAAGAATCGACGTATTCGCCACCATACCAGTCTGGATCATCAACATCAGTGACGGTGATGATCTGACCAATCTCAAAAGGCAGGTCATCCTCGTGGTTCGAGGTATACTCGAAGAGAGCCTTCACCCTGAACGGTGCAGCAGCCATGATGCCTGGGCGTCGATAGCAGACTGCACCTGTGTAGCTTAAAATGGTACTTGGGAGGTTGGTTGTAAAGTAGCCTGTGATGCCACGGACCTTTGACGGTATCCGATGACGACAGGTATTATTGCGATTTGACCGAGTTGTCGACTAAACGGTCGAGGGGGTTTGTTGTTGTTGGGAGAAAAAAAGACTACGGTAAAGTAATTAAGTACGTCCTGGATGCGCGTAATTCGAAAGTGGAGAGAGTATTAAGTAGCGCTGGGATCGTCGAATCTGGTCAAAGAGAAGACGAGGGTTGGTTTCTCGTCTCTTTACTACGTATGGTGCTAGATCGAGGCTGAGCACCAGCACCTGCACCTATACCTGCACGAGCAGCAGCAGCCTGTTGGAGCTATGGACGTCAGCGCATGCTGCATGAAATCCAATTGGAGATGGCGTACTCCAGATAAAGAGAGCTGGCGTACGCATGGACTGACAGACGGGGAACGCAAGAAAAGCAATCACAACGAACCTGGGCAGTAGAACGGCGAGTTTGTGGTGCCTGTGTCGGGAACTTTGAGGTATCAGACAGTGTCTCAACTTAAGCATGAATAGCCGTCAGGTGTCGGCGGTTTTGGTTTTGGGGGGGTGGGAAAGGATGCTGTTCGTGTCCCAGAATCTGGAGGTGCCTATGGGAGTGCCTGGCGACCCTTTGGGGATGAGGAGGGTGGCTTTGACATGGGTTACTCGGCCTGAAATGCTAAACTACCCCCCGAGCTCTGCGCTGCCCACATTGAGATGGAAGCTGGGCCCAAAGGTGGGAGCCTAGTCGTAGTTGGGCTCTTGGGGGGACCACCACGCGAACGCCACAATGCACTATGTCATCGTGGCTGCTGCTACCCTTCATACACAGTACGTTCTGGCGCGCCACGGGCCTGGTGGGCGGGCATCTCTACCAGCAGGGGGCTTGTCGCTTTCGTCCCACCTGTCGATCCGCAAAGAGAACATCTGAAAGCTCAGGCGCACTCTCAATGTCGTGAACAGTTCACCATTCTTCCCGTGCTCAGATTGCACATCATTTTGATACACCAGCTACTTATTTCCTTGCCTAGCATGGCCACCAAGGCTCCCAAATCAATCCTGAAGAAGCCCTCAAATCCCGGCGCCATCGCAGCGGATCAGGCCGCTGCCGCCAAGGCCCGCGAGGTCGCAGTCACCCACGCAAAGATTATTCACCAGCAGCGTGATCTCGAAGACCAAATTGGCGACTCCATTATTGAGCTCTCAAAGTTCCCTCTTGTACGCGACGCTTCCCACACCGCCAGCAATCCCGCGCCGTCCGATGCTGCCGCTTTCCGTTCTGGCATTCGCCTTTTCCAGCCGGGAGATTACGATGACCTGATCGAGGAGCGCAACGCTGAGGGGCGCTGTGGATACACATTATGCCCGAACCCGCGCAGGCGCTTCCCGGGCGGCGAGTGGAAGATCGTGGGCTCCAGCATCCTGCCCAAGAAGGAGGTGGAGAAGTGGTGCTCGCAACCATGTGCGAAACGAGCCTTATATGTCAAGGTGCAACTCAACGAGACAGCAGCATGGGAGCGCGCCGGCATCGACAGCATTCAGATTGAACTCTACGAAGAACCAGAGCAGAAGCTGGTCAAGGATATGAGCAATCTGCAACTAGAAAAGGAGCGAGACGCAGTCAAAATTGCCCGTGATCTTGCGCTCGAGAGGGGTGATATAAACAGAGAAACCCAGCAATCAGTGCCCATCGATCTGAGGGAGAAGACTACCGTCAAAGCAGCCCAGGAGCCATCACTGGAGGATCAGCCGGGCACCGACGGGCACCTCATGCTTGAAGGGTATAAGGTCAAGTCAGGTGAAAGGAACCCCAGTCCAATGGATATGGACGAAATCTAAAGAATCTTACGGAGGGATATCATTTCACAGCATAGATTGGCGTTTAAAAGGTTGCATATATGAATTCGAGATACCCCATAACAGTAGACTTGGCCATACAGCTTTGCCCATGCACGAGGTTGTCGAAAATGGTGCTCGTCGACTATGGGCAAGATAGACACCTCCAACTGACCAACATGTGAGCAGTTATGCGAAGGTATCGACCTGACCGCAAGAGTCAAACAAGTCCACCAGGATTCAAATGAAAGCCTGAGCAGTCACGTTCTCATGCGAGATGGAAGAGAATTGGCAATCAACCGTCGTCTTCGGAATCAACCAAAGAGTCAGGGACACCTTGTGTGGGGTAGATCTTGTCTCTTTTTGTAAGATCTAGAAAGCACTCACTATCGTCCATTTAGACGCCATGAAGCCGTGAGACCGTAAATGCCAGTTGCCCAATTCAACCATTCGTAAACCCTTTTCTCCTGCGCTAAAAAGACTTTTATGATCGGGGAGCACGGTCGCCGAAGCGGCGGGGGCGCTCGGTGCCCTGGGACTGAGTGACGGGGACAACGTTGACGGGGATGGAGTCGAACTGCATAGTAAAGTTAGCCAGAACTGTGGGGGTGTCGTGTTGCCAAAGGAAGGATAAATAACGTACGCCAAGGTGCTTGAGGAGGTCCTTGGTCTCGGTGTCGATGTCGAGCTGACCGTTGTCGGAGTTCTGGGCGAAGTCCAGAGCAGAGACCTCGGGAACGTATTGATCCTTGCGCTCTCTCTCCTCCTCCTGGAGCTTGAAAGAGATACCGCGGACGGGACCACGCTGGATACGCTTCATCAAGTGGGTAGTGTAGCCGGCTATGAAAAAAGCAGATGTTAGTGACCAGTCCCTTCGTGCCATAGTCGTCGCATGCCGGCTGTATCGAGACTGGGGAGCTTACCAATCTTGTTGCGGAGGCGCTTGGAAGCAATGATGGCGATCTCATCGCAGACACGCTTGTTGGTCTCGAAGTCCAGGGTGAGCTTGGGGTAGTAACGCTCAATGATGACCTTGGCGGACTTCTTGACGGTCTTGGTACGAACGCGACCCATGTTGGCGGTATTGCTGGCTGTCGAAAGGGCGAAGGGAGTCGGTGTTGGGCGTTGGGTGTTGAACGTTCGAGACAAATCGCAATCGGGTGACTTTGTAGAGTTGCAGCTTTCGACTGATTTTTGCGAATGTGCTTGTGGACTTTCAGACCCACATTCTTATCTAGGGCAGACCGTATCGGCTCGATTGATTGGCAGGACTGAGCAGCCACCCCACCTGGTGCCAGCTGGGACCTACCTTCTCATCATTTGAGAGTTGAAGACACCACCAGTATGAGCCGACATGCAATAGGATAGATAGATTGTAGGCTATCTTGTTTCATTGCTTGACGGTCGTTTTATTGATGTTCAGTCTCAAAGTACTCCAATGAATCTACAATCAAAAATTCTCTTGCCTCACAAACTGGATAGTCAATTGCTTCCAACAGGCTATTGCACGATACGCTTACTTTACAGTAGGACCTTGGGTACTTGCTAAAACCAAAGGCATGCCGAACATTGAATCTTGCTAGGAGCCATGGTCGTTATACTTTAAGACAATAACGTTTGCTTCACGTACTGTTTATGTTGAGCACAAAAATATGCCTCAAGATGAAATTCGATGAACACAAAACGCACCCATACACAGAGTTGTTTTTCTCTAGACTCAGTATTGATACAAAATGTACAGTACACATTTTCCGCTAGTGTACAGGTAATAGGCCTCAAATGACCAACGTATATACGCCGTCTAATTGCGCCCAATTATTTCTGCCTACAACTCGATCCCCTCCGTCATGCATGGCCCCTAACTGGTTACTCCTTTGTGATACCATAGCTGGCAGAGCTGCTAGTGATATGTCTCCTCAGCCGGCGGAACGATTGGTGCGTATGCATGGGTCTCTCCACCCGAATCTCGTGCCTCTCCTTTGAAGCATCTTCAAAGACTGAGGCTTCACCGACCATTTCCTTGTGCACAACTGAAGCATTCGGATCGGTGGCACCAAACTCGAGAATCATTTTTCCGCTCGACTCGATCGAGGCCCTTTCAGGACGCACGTACACCTTGGAACCTCCCTGAACGTCGGGAAGGAAATTGTTGAGGCCAGGAATCCTTTCTTGGGCTCCCTTGCCCAGAGAGGAAGTGTAATTGAAAGAAGTTTCACCCTCAGGAATCTTGGAGATGAAACCTCCCACACCAATCTTGGCTACCCAGCCAGACGAGCTCTGTCTTGGTGTCACAATTCTGGCCTTGACCGGAGCATGGTACTGTTGAGGACCATAAATGGGGTGGTTTTCGAGGTAGTTGTTGGTGCGCAGGTACGAAAGTCCGGCGGATGGGTGTGTAACTGGCGGACCATTTCGAGCATAAGGACTCAGAGCGATTTCGTACTTCTTGTTCGGGTTCAGTCTGTCAAGAGCTTCCAATGTGGTCGACTCAGGAGCCAGCGGAGCAAGATCCAAAAATCTGCTAACATGCTGGAAGAGCAGAATACGGTCGCCACGAAGTTTCCGGAGATACTCGGTCAACGTCTCTTCGGTAATATCGTTGGCCAGTGTGGGCGCCGGAACTGGCTCTGCCTTCTCACTCGCCAATGCGCTTTGCTCCTCAGTTAATTCAGAAGCAAGCTGCTGCTTCAAGTACTCGCGGAATTCTTGGCGCCTCTCCCGCACGGTATTTGACAGGTACTGCTCGAATTCGCCATCGGTCATGCCGGCTAGCCATGGTCCGCTAAACTTCCAGCGCACATTTTCCTTCTTCACCTTGTCCTCGGCGCTTAGCGAAGTCACGTCGCTGTAATCTTCAAAGACAGACTTGGCAGGCCTGGAGTCGGTGCCTTCTCGGGGCACGGTGATGTTCATGTTCATCTCTTGCCATTTCTTCAGAGTAATGGCATGGTCTGAGGAGGATCCAAAGTCGGTGACTTGTTCGATCGAGTCGACCTTCTTGACCTTCAGCAGCGGCAAGGATGACTTTGTGGTCGTCTTCAAGGGCAGCGGCCGCTTGAAGCCCCAATCTCCAACCGCGCGCGATGATTCGGGTGTCGTTACTGTGAGGTGGGTAGGGAATGGCGTTGTGGCGGTCGGTGACTTGTGCCTCGTCGCTTGTGAGAGATCAGTCGGTGCTGGAATGGGCGCTGGCATGGAGAACATGCGAGACGACCGGAGCAGGGCTGCTCCGGGAGCCACGCTCCTAGATGCGCTGGCGCTGGCCATCTCGAGAGACTGCCACCTGTAAGTATTCTTCTGCCGTACACAAAGAGACTGCGCTCGTGGCCGAGCTCTTACTCAATTGCAGTGGCCCTCTGCGGATGCTTATTCGCGATGATGCTAAACTTCCTCAAGAGCTCCCATGCAGAATTTCCCGGAGCACGGACCTCCTGATAGGTAATGTTCTAGCTTGCCTTGTAGATCTGCTGAGTTGGAACGAGTCGGGATGACCAGGGGCTGCCAGCTGGCAGTACCCACTAAACCTGTATAGAACTTTTTATCATATCTACATACTTTGGCTTGACTTGATTATTTCTACCTCAACCATTGTTAAGTCAACTGCATGTTATTATTTTCTATTGACGATATTTCCAAAGCTATTAGAGGGTCTGTATCAGACGTGCATACAGCATCATCGTGCCGACTCCAGGCAAAAATCACGTCAATCAATGCCTATTTAACCTGCGGCGCCTTCGTTGCTCCAATTGATCCTGTATGACAGATCTCACGATAGGTTCCAGAACTTGTATCTGTTCCCTGACTCTCCACTCAGCCCACACGCGCAACTGCGTGGTAAGTGGAGGAGGAGGTGGTGGTGGAGGAGGAGGCGGAGGGGTCATCAGACAGTCATTGCAAAGATATCTGCTTACCCGCAATGGGAGGTCTATCTCACCCTCGCCGGGCAGTCGTGGATAGCCGCAAGAAGCAAAACGTCCCCGAGTCCTTTTGACCATGGCGCACTTTCGGCGTCGGACTTTCTGAGACGTAAATCCGGTGCATTCTGGGCAAATTCTCTCCTGAAGTTCAATTCGACACATATTTCTGGTTTTCAGTAATGAACGGTAATGATGTCCTGGGTATGCTAAGCATATGTAATTATTTTCGCCGCTTATCTTCTCCTTTTTCTTTTTCCGGGTAGAGGTCGGACACTTTATAGTTCAACATTCCTAGCAGTGAATAACTTGAATGAAGTATGTTGTCTGATAAAATATCAGACTGACTGGATACCTCATCTGAGAATCTTTTGGTCTATCTATTCACCGCTACGTCAGGCTGCGGCATCGCGGATCGTCTCAAAGCAGTATCAGCAGCGTAATAATACTATATCCGATTCCGCTAAATCATTTCCTATTTTGATGATGTAGCTGTCGTAATCCTAGACGAGATAATATCGACGGAGATGAATCATGACACTATCGTCGATAAAGTCTTTCGACCTTTCCAAATTCCCAAGAAATTGGCTGCATGTCTGCTGAAGCCACGAAGCAAATGTCAGAGTCAGTTAGGATTTGATGTGCGTTGCTCCTTAAGATACGCTGACCAATTCGTTGAAGTTCCTGGCTCTCCATCGGGCCCATCGCCCTCCTGCCAGACCGAGTCGTTCCAAGCACCAAGTCCACAGAGATGCCTCATGGTAGGACGACCATGCGGGCAGTTCCATGGTTTATCAAGTTCTCCCATATGTCTCACAAGCTTTTCCATCTGCTTGTTTGAGAGTGATTTGCCAATCATGACACTGCTGCGGCAAGCACGCATGGCGAACATTTTGCGTACTTTTGACGGACGAGGTATGGTATTCACAGACGTGGATTGATGATCCGTGAGGAGAGAGATCAGCTCCTCGAGATCTGCAAGCGTAAAAGTCGTCTCCCGGCTCAGAGGCAAACTAAGCAGCTGGCAACGAGATCCGACTGGCTGATAGCCACTTTCATCGATACTGACTTGAAAACCATTGCTTTCCAGTGCTTCAATGTTTTCCTTGATGACCTCTTCTTCAATTGCGGTAAGCTCGAGAGCTTTGGGCTGTACAAGCCTCTGTGATTGTACCACTGTGGTTGCTTGCAAGCGCTCGAAGTTATATTTTTCGTCCGTTGCGTGCTGGTCGATAATAAACAGTTCGTCGTCCACAGCATGCCAGTCTTCTGCATCATCTGTATTCCTACTCGCGTAGCGAATCGCCAGGATGAAACCGAGATTAAATTGACCAACTATTTTCATCTTGTCAAAATCAGACTTTGAAATGGTCAAAGAAAGCTTCTCCTCCGCATCTTCACCTGAGATATCATTCTTCGAAAAGTCTGCATCTGCACCAAGTGTGGTATGCGAAGAATATTCATCGAGTGAGGAAAGAGCTGCAGCGATCGTGTCGGTATTGGTGCGAACTTTCTGCATAAATTGGCATGTGGCATCCTTCCGTCTCGTCATGCCTTTGACAAAAGTCTGCTGCCGTTTTTGTGACTCTTCAGCAGTGATCTTTGCCACATCCTCTGCACTGTCGATCATGTCACGAACTCTGTCTTCCTCTTGTGCCTTTTGCTCGGCTTCATCCGCAAATTCCTGCTCGCTCCGAACAGGAAGATTTGAGTTGGACAACTCGAGCTCATACGCATCGGCGCTGTCAGTCTCACGACTTATAGCTGAGTGGGCAGGCGTGCCTCTGCCAATGCCTGAAGCATGCGTCTCAATCTGTCCTGACTTCGCTTCGCTGATGGGGGAAGCAGGCTCTTCGTCTGCATCTTTGTCACTCTCTACAAATAGGCCTTCACTTGCTGCACTGGCAGTGCTTGGTGATCTGGACCTCCTCGGGCTTTCCCCAAGACTAGGCATTAGCCCGATACCTTCAGAGCAGGCGTGAGAGGAGCTTGATGCCGAGAACATTTGCGTCAAGCGACCCTTGAAGGACGGCATTTGCGCGGCTTTTTGCGCAGTACTTTGATCCTCGTGTGACTTCCCTGGGTTGGACCTTTCAGTTCGGACCTTTTTCGCAGGCGAGCCTATGATACTAGTAACGGTTTCACCATCTATCGTAATTGTAGCAATTTCAGGTGCGGTACGTTTAAATCTTCTTGGGCTCCATTGCACGTTTTTGATCTCGGATGTTCGAGAGGGTCTGCCAACACTTGGAATGGGAGACTCAGGTGTTGCCTGATTTTCGTGATCGATATCCACGGTTTCGGTACTTGCTTTATTTCGACTCAGCTCATCGAGGCGAGCTACAAAGCCTGCTCTTTGTGGTGATAACAGACTTGTCTTCTCGGGAAATTTGTGATCAAGGCTATTGCCTTCGGTTATCTGACTAGATCGGGTAATGTCAGATGTCGTAGAATCGATTGGCTTTGGTACGCCAGGACCCTGTGGACGATCTGTGGATCTTTTGTCCAGCCACCGACTGATGAAAGTTGGACCTTCGCTGGATTGCGCTGCGTTTGAATAAGAGGTGCCGCGGTTCTGCTGCTGATCTCCCACTGTTTCGTCTTCATCTGGGTTCTGGCCAGTAGGTGTGTCCACCTCGTCCTCATCATTGTGATCATCGTTTTTGGGGTTCATTGAAGTACTCCTATTGCTTCTGGGTTCACTTTCCACTGTATTCTGGCGGTTTACTGCTAGCTTTCTGGCAGCTGCCTGTTTTGGGCCATTGAGCTGTGATGCTGGGACTGAATAATCCTGCACCTCGAACAGGGCGATAAGTGACTCCCTAAGGTTATCGAGTAGTCGAGATTGATCATGCAGTAAGATGGTTCGCTTGTCTGGGCTGACGTTGACATCATACATGTGCGTGTCTAACTGTATATCTGCACAGATGAACGGCGATTGAGACGAGTTGTAAGATTTGTAGACCTCGTTGAAGACTTTGGCAAACTGAGGCAACCCACAAGGCCGCCCATTAACAAAGAACATCTGCCGATCAGGGGTCTGTCGACCTTCTCCGTGGGCAGGCCTGGACACATGACCGCGGATCTTGACTTCTTTCGTATTCGTTTCTTTTTTTGTCACCAATCGCTGGCTCGGGGCTGTAGTAGGCTCCAGCTCGAGATCCAGCTCAAGAGGTATGAGAACCGTCAGGGTTTTGGCTCCGAAAACATTGACGATATTTTCTCGTGTGGTGGCATTGCCTTTGGTTGAGAACAGAATGATCTTCTTGCCCTTATTGGGTTGCTGCGAAACAGAGAATTTAACCCTGGTCAAGATGCAGGCATACTGGTTAAGTAAGCCGATGACTTTGTTCCACTCCCTCTTGATATTCCGCTGCAGCTCACGCCGCCTGACTGGCAAATTGTTGAAAAGGTCCTCAACGACGACTGTGGTGCCTTTCTGGGCTGCAACGACAGACGTCCCTCGAAGTGTCCCAGATATTTCAAACTCGAGTCTGGTGCCCTTGGGAGCATCCGAGGCCAGGCAAGTGAGAACAGAGAATTTGGAAAGAGCACAAAGTGACGAAAGAGCCTCTCCTCGAAACCCAAAAGTTTCAAGCGAAGCGAGGTCCTCGTAGGTTGAGAGCTTTGAGGTATAGTGTTTCAAGGCCAGTGTTTCGTAGTTGTCCGGAGCGATGCCACCGCCATTATCCTGAACTTCAATGGAATCCAGCCCTTGGTTCTTGAAACGCACCTCTAAAGGATAACTGGTCAGTGTTTGTGGTGAAAGGGTCGGTATGACAAAAGACGCACCGATATTTGTAGCTCCCGCATCCACACTATTCTCAACCAGTTCCTTCACCACGGAGCAAAGGTCGACGATGACCTGCCCTGATTGAATTTGGTGGACCTGCAACACACCTTGTCAGTGATGCTTCTCGCTATGTCGCGCGATGGATCTCACCGTCCGGGCCTCGATGGCCTTGATGGTTGCCATTGAAGCTTGACAGTTCACCTCGCAAACGCTGTGGCGCGTTTGTCCGATAAGTGCAGCAGTTCGATTACCGAGGTGACATTTCAACCAGTGTGAAAAAAGAAAGAAAGAAACAGGAAACCTCAAATCTCAGACATGAGCGATAAATCAAACAAGTGCAGTCGAGGCTTCCTACGATTTATTCCTGCACAACGAGGCACATGCAAACAGCATGGTCCATTTGCTGTAGCTTCGTCGCGTCTTCCTTAATTGAAAACGCGTCACAGGTTGATGTGGCGTCATATGTGGCTTGACCCTCTAGGTACAGAGTACGCACCGCTAGTGCATCTTACATACCTAGGTCCGTACGGTTCTTCAAGTCCATTACCTGTATTGATTGTTGCCGCTCTTCGCCTCCTAACTTCCTCCTCGTACACTAATAGATGTCATGACTATCATGTCTTGACTTGCCATAATAATTCTTGTCACATTGTGCACTCAAAGATGAGGTTGGCATGAACAAGAATCACTTGATTAAAAACGCTCGTGCTTGCCTGTACATGATACTGCAATTATACTAGATCGCCCCAATGACCCATATACATATCGACATATTTCCAGAGAGCTTTCAATTCTTCGCCTTAGGTAAGATGGAAAGATTTAACAGGGCTCAATTATTGTAGCCCGTGGGACTGTCGAGTAGAGACATTTTCGGCCTGCACCCCCGTTCCCATGACATTTACTATGGACTTATTGAAGTACAGCATGAATCGATGTTGCTGAGAATTTACATGTATTGCCAACGACGCGAATCCAATTGCTCTGCGTAATTGGGTTCCGGCATATAGCTGTGGCTGCTCTGTAGTCTGGCCTATTGAGGGACTCAAGGCAGGAAGGCCTCATGGCTCCCCTCCTCTCTTAAAATTGTTTCCTTTTCCTTCTGGCTTTTGGCGTCAATCTTGGGAAAGAGCCGCACGAGGCACAGCATTGGCTTGCTAAATAGTGTGCGGAGGCCAAAGTCAATCGTGCATCGCGAAAAAGTCAATCTCTATTCAACACTGAAACAATATGCATGTGCCACTAGATAGTCGCGATCTGGACGCCAAGTATGTATAGTTCGGACTTCTTTCACGAAATCACCAGCCTCCTAATGCCATCTGACACCCGATAATACTTTAGTGATGCTGAGAAATAGGATGACCTACAGGTAATTAGGACTCAGGGAGGCGGGAAA